CATGTGAATCCTATTACAAAATTAAGGTGTAAGTGATTACAACGGGGTGGGAGCTTTCTAAACGAAAGAATAGAGACGAAATATTGATATGTTTCCCATAATTTGTAACTAAGTTACAAAAACACTCATTCTAATTGTCAGTAGTCACCATTTTCCTCTCTTTATCAAAATTTCATGGGAATTCTTTTATCCTTGTTGCCTTTTATAAGAAATCTTTCCTTAATCCGCCGTCCAAATTCTTGTATCGTTTTCTAGCAACATCTGATCTGTTGGTTGGTCTTGTTAGCCAGCCTCTCTTTGCTGCCTATTCCATGACATTAGTTTAAGAACTCTAAAGTCTTTGTGGATACGATAGAGACGTTGACTACACAACAAGCTATGTATAACCTGATTATAAATTCAGTGCGGAGGATGAAAAGTGTCAGTCGTTTACTTTTATATTCATCTTGAATGAAAGAGGTGTTGAACGTGCTAAATTGAAATGAAGAATTGTTTTCCTTGTCGGGAATTCGACATGAAATTAACCTAGAAACGAGCCTAAGGGGGAATCGAAAATATGGAAAGGAAAGGAGAATTTCCAGGAAATTCTTGTTTTAATAACAAATTTGACGAGAGCAACTTAATATCATGCATCTTCATCAAGTGGATTAACATGATGGAAATACAACTTACTGCAAGATCATTGAAATATTTTACTTCAAGTTCTAATTATCGTAAAAACTAGACATCTGTTTTCATGTGAAACTCACAATAGGAGAGTATGGAACTTAATTAAAATCAATAGCAACCTGATACAAATGTTTTGATTAATCAAATAGTCTATTTTCTCACATTAAGAAAAGATAAAAATTACCCTAGTTGTCTAATAAGACTGCCAGAGAAGTAGGAGGAAATCAACAATTTATTGTGTTTTTACTGAATGGCTTTTAATTATATCATATTATTTCCATTTATTATCCTAACACTAAGAGAAGGAAGCGCTTACGACGCTTTTGAATGAGATATAGGTTAATCTTATCGTTTCAGGCAGCTATAAAATAGGGTGGTAACAGATGTCTTTATGGTCTTTGATACCTGAGGCATAGGGAGAATTCATGGACCAAATTTCCCCTTTTTTGGCACCACAGACGGTGGTGAAAGAAAGAAAGTGATCGGAGTTGGACAGGTGCTTTCAAGACAAAGAATCTCTCGTTACAATTACGAATAACCTAAATGAAAAAAGGTAAAACGGTTGCAGAGGATGGCGGCAACAAAGTCCACTGGAGATGAAACGCAAACGAAAACGTTTGAAGAACTTGTATGCTCCTCTTCTTTGGCGGGCGAATTGCAACAATACTCCTTACTTTTGTCAGCAGTCAACATTTTTTTTTCCCTTACAGCATTTCTTGGGAATTCTCTGATCTTCGTTGCACTTCACAAGATATCTTCCCTCCATCCGCCATCCAAACTCTTGTATTGTTGTCTGGCAACAACTGATCTGTTGGTTGGTCTGGTAGGCCAGCCTCTCACTGCTACTCTTTGGATGTCGGTTGTTCATGAACAGTGGAGACTTTGTCGATTCGCTTGGGAAGCAGCCTCCATTTCAGGGTATGGATTATCTTTAATGTCTTTGATGACAGTGGCAGCCATGAGCGTGGACAGACTTCTGGCCTTGTTGTTGAGGCTGAGATACAAACAAATTGTAACTCTGAAGCGTACATATGTCATTGTCGTTACTCTTTGGATTATAACCGTTGTCGCTACTCTATGCCACGCGTTACTTCCTCGTATAGCGCGTTGGTTTGGTCGCATTATCATCCCATCTTGCCTATTAATCTCGATTGCTTCATATGCTAAGATTTTCCTCGCTCTTCACCGTCATCAGGCTCAAATACAAGATCATGTTCAACAACAGCCAAGCCAACCAAATGCACTGAACATGGCGCGATACAGAAAGGCAGTGTACAGTGCACTGTGGGTGCAGTTAGTGTTACTTGCCTGTTACTTACCAGTTAGTGTAGTGGCAACTGTGATAGGTCCTAGACAAGCAAATTTATCACATTTTGTCGTCGCCCTGGGAATAGCCAACACCCTAGTTTATTTAAACTCGACGTTAAACCCGTTCCTGTATTGCTGGAAGATTAGTGAAGTGAGACAAGCAATGAAGCAGACAATCCGAAAAGCACTTTGCTGTTCATTGAGTTAATAAGATCTTCCGTTAAGCTCTTATTAGTCGTATCAAAGCTGGTTGTTATTGGATATCGCTTGTCGGATAAATTATTAAAAAGGAAGAAATAAGGAGCTTAATTATATAAATCATTAAGTCGCGTCACAAACTGTTTTGATAATATTATTCTCATATTGCCCGAGAAAAACCAAGAGTCGAGGAATTTAAACATTAACGACATCATAAGTGTAGTGACACTGTGACGATTTAATCTTTAATTACTGGGCTTCCTGTGTAGTTTATTGCCCGCGCACATGTTAGCGGAGTTGTTTACCTGCACATGTCAGCGGACTTTTTTTTTTATTCCACCATCTATATTGATGTTGCTGGGGCGAAGTCTTATATGGATAGTCTCTTTGACCCCACGCGTGTACCAGTGGGGGTCACGATCAATAAACTTAACCTTGCTCCAAATAGGAATATGCCCCGTTTCGTTAGAGCGCTCCGAAACCGCAGAGGTTTGAGTTCGAGCAAACCGTATCTCTCTGTCATGTTCTTGTATCCTTTTTCGCATCGATCTCCCTGTTTCACCGGTACACACTTTGCTGCATTCACATGGGATCTTGTAAACCGGGCTGTCTTGTTTATTTAGAACAAATTAGTTAGAATCAATTAATCGAATGAAAAGCGTTCTTTGACTCGGTGGGGATTACCTCTTCGGAAAGCTGCTTTCCAAACAGCGGCTGCAAAACTCTAGAACAAAAATTTATCTTTCAAATCGGCACTCTTAGCTGTTATTCTCCCTCATCGACGCAGCACCACAATTGCTTAAGAAACGTACCGCTTTATTTTAAAATAATTCAGTTTAACATTATAATTAAAAAGAAAAAAGTTACAGCTATTTTTTCCCATTTTCGTCTCGGACTGGAATTGGAGACGAAACAAGATAAACCGCCAACAAAATAATCATCTTATGCAATTTATTTTTCACTCTCAAATTTCTCCCTTCTTTTCCCTTGCAAATTTTCCTGGATAATAACAAACAAAAGTCAGCTAATCAAGCATAGCTAGATCCAATTTCTTCTCCTATCAAGCATCTTCTTCTTGCAGCGATTCTCGTTTGTCATCAACGATTATCCTCTGATCACAATTAAAGTTGCACTCGAATAATGAAGTGAACAAACTGATTCCTAAATCGAGATCGGAGATGAAGGGATGAATAGTGAAAAAAAACCATTAACACTCGATTGGAAATCTGTTTTATTCTATGTTTTTTTACTCGGGAACCTATAGTTACTCTCGGCTAAGCGTAGAGCAAGTCTTACACATCTTTTATGCTTCCTAAACCTTTCGCGTGCTTCATGTCTTCACGACCGCACGCTGAGGCAGGAACCAATCTTAAAGTTTACGCTGTCAAAAGTGAATGAAAAGCGCTCGTTGATAACGTAGGGACAAAGAGTGCCGATTTGAAAGATTAATTTTTGTTCTAGAGTTTTGCGGCTTTCCGAACCGCCTAGATGAAGTGAAAGGCCGCAAACTGCCATACGCTGCTTCTCAGTCTCGGTTTCAGAATTTCCCACACACAGAGAAAAAGGTGAAAACTTAATTATTAGCGCTCATAAAAAGACAGGTTGTTTAAGAACTGATTTAAAACGTTTTCTCATCTTATTGTCAGATGAAATATAATCGATATCCATTAATGTTTACCATGTTCATTAACTCTATTTTGATTAACTTTTATTTTACAGTTGGCAGGCGCAAACATATTAATGACATTAATGTTTGTTAACTGAGCCGCAGTCGCTACTCTGAATAAACCGAGAGATCAAATATATTGACGTAAAATCTAGGGTAAGGGAATTGGTTCTCAGTCTTCGCCAGATTCCAACCAACCAACCAACTTTAGTAAAACTTTCACTTTTCTCGTTTCAGTCATTTCCCGAGGTTTCACTGAAGTCCAGAATTTCCCAACACAGAGAGAGAAGATAAATATTTAATTATCAGTGCTCAAAAATGACAGGTTATTTACATAAACTGCTTCTTTATCGGCATCGAAAACATGATTAAAAATAATTTTGTTATCGTATTGTCAAATTAGAACAAATTCAATCCGTTTCTATTTTTAACACGCAAATTAACTCTATGGATAATTTGTTATTATCGTAAGCTTTACGGTTTGGTAAATGGTGAAATTGGATCACAGTTTTCAAAAGATTTTTTAATTTGCTTGTTTTTATATCTGTTAAATTAAAGGGGTTTGGCTGCGTAATATCGTGTATCTGCTATTATTCGTCTCAAATTCAAGTCGGATGCTAAAAAAAACAATGAACGCGGAAATGACTTTTTAATAAAAAAAGTCAAATATTTTGAAAAGAGTTTGCATTTGTGACCAAATATTTCATGTTTTATGTTTTCGGAAACAGTCGGGAATTCAATTATTCTTGGACAAATTGACACCGCCAAGTTCAAATTTTTGCTTTTTAGTTTGTCATAGCTGAGAATGATACAATGCTCAACAGCACACAGATAATATTTTCAAAAATACTCTCTAACAATGAATGCTCATCTGGTTGAAGAGGGATTGTTTTGTCATACAGATGTCTTAATGCTTCCGTCCTATTGCTGATTCATACGTGGGCAAATCAAAAGTTAAAGGAAAAAAACTTTTTTGGCAGCACAGACACTTTGCTTGTGCATGTAAATGAATATACACTGATAAGGAAGTCTTAGTGTAAGTGCTCTTATGAAGGCAAGGTCGAAGTGATCTTAACTTTTCGGATGCTCATTAAGACGAAATATTTCTGGGCATAATCAATGGTAAGTTGCAAAAAAAAACTGGAACGACTACAGTATGATGGAGACAACAAATTTAACAGGAAATGAAACACAGGCAAAAACATTTCAAGAACTGCTATGCTCCCCCGCTTTGGGAGGTGCATTAAAACAACTAGCAATATTTTCCTCAGCAGTCAACATTCTCCTCTCTATGACAGCATTTTTTGGCAATTCTCTCATCCTTGTTGCCCTTCACAAGGAATCTTCACTTCATCCACCGTCCAAACTCTTATACCGTTGTCTTGCTACAACTGATCTTTTAGTAGGCCTCCTTGCGCATCCTCTTGTTGCTTCTCTCTGGATATCCGTGGTTCATGAACACTGGAGTATTTGTCGATTCATACTCGGTGCAAGCCTCGTAACATCTTATGTATTATATTCAGTGTCTTTAATGACGACGACGGCCATAAGCGTGGACAGACTTCTCGCCTTGTTGTTAGGGCTGAGATACAGACAAAATGTGAATTTAAAGCGCATTTATGTGGCTCTAGTGCTTTTTTGGGTTGTCCCCTGTATGGACACCCTATTCTTTCTGTTTGTTCCCCTTATACCCCCTTGGTTGGGTCCTATCATCATACCGTCTTGCTTAGTAATCTCAGTCGCTTCGTATATTAAGATTTTCCGCACTCTCAGTCGTCACCGGGCTCAAGTACAAGAGCATGTTCAACAACAATCGAGCCAACCAAACGCACTGAACATGGCACGATGCAAAAAGGCAATGTACAGTGCACTGTGGGTGCAGTTAGCATTAGTTGTCTGTTGTGTACCATTGAGTATAGTTGTGCTGGTAATAACTCATACTAAGACATACTCACCACTTTTAATGGTTATTAGAGAAATAGCAATTACTTTTGCTTACTTAAATTCAACTTTGAACCCGTTCCTTTACTGCTGGAAGATCCATGAAGTGAGACGAGCTGTAAAGCAGATAATCAGACAAACGATGTGCTGTCCATGGATTTAGATTCTTTGAGCTGTGCTCGTACATTTCAATCCAAAACAAACTTATAGAGTTATGGCTGCTCCAAGTAAATGCTTCTCGAATACGTCCCTAGATAGTAATAGATATGAAGCTTGAAAAGATCGTCGCTCGAGCGTTTGTTGGTATTTTATGATTTACGTAAATGACTTAAGGGCAAGGAATCGAGGCACTGACGATACCTTAAGAAAATTATATTTATATATTTCCTGCAACAACATTTACCGTGTACCAAGAAAAAAAAAGAAAAGAAAGAGAAAGACATACAGCGTTATCATCAGACTCATGTACAAGATCATGTTCAGCAACAGCCGGCCCAACCAAAGGCACTGAACATGGTGCGATACAAAAAGGCAGTGTACACTCCACTGTGAGTATAGTGAGTGTTACTTGCTTGTTATGTACCACTTAGTGCGGTGGGAATTGTGTTGGCTCATAGACAAGCAAATTTATCTCATTTAGTCGTCGCCCTGGGAATAGTAAACGCCCTAGTTTATTTCAACTCGACATTAAATCCGCTCCTGTTCTACTGGAAGATTAGTGAAGTGAGACAAGCTGTGAAGCTGACAATCAGACAGGCAATTTGCTGTTCATTGAGTTAATAAGATCTTCCATTAAGCTCTTATTAGTCTTATCAAAGTTGATTGTTATTGGATATCGCTTGTCTGATAAATTATTAAAAAGGAAGAAATAAGGAGCTTAATTACATTAATCATTAAGTCGCGTCACAAACTTTTTTGATAATATTATTCTTATATTGCCCAAGAAAAACCAAAAGTCGAGGAATCTAAACATTAATGACGTCCTAAGTGTAGTGACATTGTGACGATTTAATCTTTAATTACTGGGCTTCCTGTGTAGTTTAGGCCCGCGCACATGTCAGCGGAGTTGTTGATCCGCACATGTCAGAGGACTTTTTTTTGATACCACTATCTTTATTGATGTTGCTGGGGTGAAGTCTTATATGGATAGTCTCTTTGACCCTACGCGTGTACCAGTGGGGGTCACGATCAATAAACTTAACCTTGCTCCATATAGAAATATGCCCCGTTTCTTTAGGGCGTTCCGAAACCGCAGAGGTTTGAGTACGAGCAAACCGTATGTCTCTGTCATGTTCTTGTATCCTTTCTCGCATCGATCTCCCTGTTTCACCGATATACACTTTGCTGCATTCACATGGGATCTTGTAAACCGGGCCGTCTTGTTTATTTAGAACAAATTAGTTAGAATCAATTAGTTGAATGAAAAGCGTTCTTTGACTCGGTGGGGATTACCTCTTCGGAAAGCTGTTTTCCAAACAGCGGCTGCGAAAAAAATTTATCTTTCAAATCGGCGCTCTTAGTTGTTATTCTCCCCCACCGTCGCAGCACCACAATTGCTTAAGAAACGTACCCCTTTATTTTAAAATAATTCAGTTGAACATCATAATTAAAAAGAAAAAAGTTACAGCTATTTTTCTCAGTTTCGTCTCGGACTGGAATTGGAGACGAAACAAGATATACCGCCAACAAAATAATCATCTCATGCAATTTATTTTTTTCACTCTTAAATTTCTCTTATCCTTTCATTTGCAAATTCATGGAAGTTGTCCTGGATAATAACAAACAAAAGTCAGCTAATCAAGCATAGCTAGATCCAATTTCGTCTCCTATCAAGCAAGCTTTCGAGTATAAAGCAGGTGATTTGACTACTTCTTGCAGCGATTCTCGTTTATTATCAACGATTATCCTCTGATCACAATAAAAGTTGCACTCGAATAATGATGGGAACAAACTCATTCATAAATCGAGATCGAAGATAAAGGGATGGATATCAGAAAAACTATTAACACTCGATTGACAATTTGTTTTCTTCTATGTTTTATAACTCAGGAACCTATAGTTACTCTCGGCTAGGCGTACAGCAAGTCTTACACCTCTTATACGCTCGCACACATCCTATACGCTGAGGCAGAAACCAATCAAAAAGTTTACAATGTCAAAAGTGAATGCAAAGCGCTCGTTGAAACTGTGGGGATTAAGAGTTCCGATTTGAAGGATAAATTTTTGTTTTAGAGTTTTACGGCTTTCCGAACCGCCTAGATGTAGGGGAAGACCGCAAACTGCCATACGCTGCTTCTCAGTTTCACTTTTAGACTTTCCCACACACAGAGAAAAAGGTAACAACTTAATTATTAGCGCTTATAAAAGACAGGTTGTCATTTAAAAACCGGATTTAAAAAGTTTTCTCTTCTTATTGTCAATTAAGAATATAATCAATGTCTATAAATGTTTACCATGTTAATTAATTCTATTGTTATTTTCTAATTATCCTTAACTTTACAGTTGGCAGGCGCAAACATATTAATGACATTAATGTTTGTTAACTGAGCTGCAGTCGCTACTCTGAATAAACCGAGAGATCAAATATATTGACGTAAAATCTAGGGTAAGGGAATTGGTTCTCAGTCTTCGCCGGATTCCAATCAACCAACCAACTTTAGTAAAACTTTCACTTTTCTCGTTTCAGTCATTTCTCGAGGTTTTATTGAAGTCCAGAATTTCCCAACACAGAGAGAGAAGATAAATATTTAATTATCAGTGCTCAAAAATGACAGGTTATTTACATAAACTGCTTCTTTATCGGCAGCGAAAACATGATCAAAAATAATTTTGTTATCGTATTGTAAAATTAGAACAAATTCAATCCGTGTCTATTTTTAACACGCAAATTAACTCTATGGCTAATTTGTAATTATCCTAAGCTTTACGGTTTGGTAAATGGGGAAATTAAATCACAGTTCTCAAAAGATTTTTTAATTTTGCTTGTTTTTATATCAGTTAAATTAAAGGGGTTTGGCTGCGTAATATCGTGCATCTGCTATTATTCGTCTCAAGTTCAAGTCGGATGTTAAACAAAAAAAACAATGAACGCGGAAATGACTTTTTAATAAAAAAAGTCAAATATTTTAAGGAGAGTTTGCATTTATGGCCAAATATTCATGTTTTATTTTTCGGAAACAGTCGGGGATTCAATTATTCACTTAACATAGCTAGTAAATTTGTCTAACCAAATTCAATTGCGCGAGCGTGCTTCATATTCCTATTGTGCACGCTCATGACGTCGGCAAACAAATCCGTCCGGAAAAAAAATTTTCCATCGGGTTAAAAATGTTCTAACACAATTGGTTCATACAGATGACGTATGAACCAATTGTTTTATAAACTGACATCGCCAACTTCAATTTTTTGCTTTTCAGTTTGTCATAACTGAGAATGATACAATGCTCAATAGCACACAGATAACATTTTCAAAATACTCTCCAGTAATGAATGCTCATCTGGTTGAAGAGGGATTGTTTGTCATACAGATGTCTTTATGCTTCCGTCCTATTGCTGATTCATACGTGGGAAAATCAAAAGTGAAAAGAAAAGGAAATTTTCTTGGCAGCACAGACACTTTGTTTGCGCATTTAAATGAATATACATTGATAAGGAAGTCTTAGTGTAATTGCTGTTATGAAGGCAAGGTTGAAGTGATCCTAACTTTTCGAATGCTTACTAAGGCGAAATATTTCTTGCCATAATAGGTGGTAAATTTCGAGAAAAAACGGAACGACTGCAGTATGATGGAGACAACAAATTTAACAGGAAATGAAACACAGGCAAAAACATTTCAAGAACTGCTATGCTCCCCCGCTTTGGGAGGCGCACTAAAACAACAAGCAATATTTTTCACAGCAGTCAACCTTCTCCTCTCCATGACAGCATTTCTTGGCAGTTTTCTCGTCCTTGTTGCCCTTCACAAGGAATCTTCCCTTCATCCACCATCCAAACTCTTATACCGTTGTCTACTTACAACTGATCTTTTAACAGGCCTCCTTGCGCATCCTCTTGTTGCTTCTCTCTGGATATCCGTGGTTCATGAACACTGGAGTATTTGTCGATTCGTACTTGATGCAAGCCTCGTAACGTCTTATGTATTATCTTCAGTGTCTTTGATGACGACGATGGCCATAAGCGTGGACAGACTTCTCGCCTTGTTGTTAGGGCTGAGATACAAACAAATTGTGAATTTAAAACGCGTTTATATCGCTCTAGCGCTATTTTGGGTTGTCCCCATTGTCGACACTCTATACTTTGTGTTTGTTTCTCCCATACCTCCTTGTTTGGGTCGTGTCATGATACCATCTTGCTTATTAATCTCAGTTGCTTCGTATATTAAAATTTTCCGTACTCTCAGTCGTCATCAGGCTCAACAACAGCCGAGCCAACCAAGTGCACTGAACATGGCGCGATACAAAAAGGCAGTGTACAGTGCACTGTGGGTGCAGTCAGCACTAGTTGTCTGTTTTGTACCAGTAAGTATAGTTTTGACGGTAATGGCTCGCACAAAGACATATTCACCACTTCTAATGGTTACTAGAGAAATAGCAATTACTTTTTCTTACTTTAGTTCCACTTTGAACCCGTTTCTTTATTGCTGGAAGATCCATGAAGTTAGACGAGCTGTAAAGCAGACAATCAGACAAGTAATGTGTTGTCCATGAATTTAGATTCTCCTTGAGCTGGATAGTAATAGATACGAAGCTTGAAGAGATTGTAGCTCGAGCATTTGTTGGTATTTTGTAATCTTGTGTGAAAAACTTAAGGGTAAGAAATCGAGGCACTGACGATACCTTGAGAAAACTAAATTTTTATATTTCGTGCAACAGTATTTACTGTGTACCAAGAAAAAAAATAAAAGAAAGAGAAAGACACACAGTGTTATCATCAGACTCATGTACAAGATCATATTCAACAGAAGCCGAACCAACCAACTGCACTGAACATGGCGCGATGCAGAAAAGCAGTGAACGGTGCACTGGGGTTACAGTTAGCAGTGGTGGTTTGTTAACTACCATATGGTATAGTGGAAACTGCGATTACTAAAAGTCAAACATATTTGTCACACATAATTGTTACAAGACGATTAATTAAAAGGTCTCTTCATTTATTTTCACACCACTTTGAACCTGTTTCTTTACTGCTGAAAGATTCGTGGAGTACGACAAGCAGTGAAGCAGACAATCAGACATACACACTTTGTCGTTGATATGGAGTTAGAGATCTTCCTCGCGGTATAATCGTGATCAGAAAGACATGAAATCAAAAAACCAACTTTATCTTAAGAAAGCTTGTTTTATTCGTTAAACCTTCTTAGAAAAATGCAATTATGGAGTAGAAATTTCAAAAGGGTGGTGCCAGAAGGAGAACTATTAAAGTCATTTATTTTTCTAGCGGTAAAACAGTATATTTTCAAATCCTTTAAAACATGTGTTTATATATAAGGCGCTTGACTTTAGCGCCATATTTCCCACACGAGCGCTGTTACGGGAAAATTTGATGAGTTTTCCATGCCTTTGTTTGGAACATATTTACGCATAAAATTTTTACGTTTAACCATTTTCGATTTATCCGAGTTCTTTCGCCCCAGTATTTAAAAAATACATAGAAAAAAACCACAGCAACTTTTGAATTGCCAACTAATACATTTGGTTGTTACTTTGCCTTTCATTGTACACCTGTATGTCGGAGCTTTGATGACCATTACTGTTGACATTGCATGTAAATAGAAGTGTCAGTGCTTTCTCCTATTGAAATATAAATATAAGTGTTTATGATCTTTCTGGAAAGTTGGTTCTTATGGAAGTTGACAGCTGAGTTTATGCTCGTGCGCACAATTTTCTCGCGTTGTCGCTTTTCCGAACTTAACACCAACATCGCATAAATTGGCAGAAATCATTACTACTTCTCACTTTCATTTACTGAGCTACTCTACCGAAATAAAGAGAGTTGTTTTTGATATCAGAGCTATGAATTTTGAATTAAGTTTGCTCTTTTTAATGGCTTAGAGTCTATTGTATCCGCTTCCTTAGTTTTCAAATTCTTTCTGAACAGATGGAATATTTGAATGAAATCACTTAACCACGAAATACATTTCTCGCTCTTTCGCGACCTTATTCAAATATTGCAATTTGTATAATAATAGAACCTCGCGCAATTATATTGTGAAGCTTTTTCGATTACGCTTTCGAGTACGCAACTGTTTATGTCGCTCACAAGCATAAACGAGAACAAAGTTACTGTGAAACCAAACGCCATTTAGTCCGTAATAAATCCACAGAAGCAGGTCCCGTGTACCAGGAAATCGTGACGAGTTTCCGTTCCCGCAGTCAAGTAGTCTCTACCGAGCCACTTTCCCCCTTATCGTTGTGTTCCCTGCAAAATTCCAGTTAGCGCGAAAAATCTATCATCACAGCCCGTCACAAAATCATTTACAGACTCGTTTTCATACTAAGGAAATTCTCCGGAAAGCTAATAATGTGCGAGAATGCATGTTTTTTTTTGTTACATATCAAAAATATTTCTGTAAGGGTATAGAGTACAATTGAAAAACTCAGGTTTTCAATGAGATTGAAAAGTCCTTTAAATATTGATAATTTTTCTGAATTTAAGTGAAACAATCAATCACCTCCCCTTCATGGTCACAATAGTTTTGCCGAAGAAAATTGAATTTCATCTCATATAATAAAATAGTAATTATGTCACGATTGTCTTATGCTTTGCTCATAATGCTAATTCACGTCTGAATTCAACTTAACCAAGTAGGCAAACTTGAAGTTGTGTCGCACACTATTGTTTAGTTATAGACTCCAGCCTCAATCATAGGACACTCATGGATATACAGCATGAATGGAATATCACAGAATTGCGAGTTACCAAATAATTGCTTACGTTTGTCCAACATACGAGAAAAAAAATATCGAAATGCATCATGAATTTTCTATAATAAAGGAAGAGAGCATGTACAACTGAGGAAAAATAATAAAAGAACGAAGAGTTTGGTTGCATAATAGCGTGCCCTGACACTGCTTTGTTTCCAGTTTAAAATGGATGCGGAAAGGCACTTATATGCGGAAATACTTTTTTAATTAAAAAGCTGTGCTCAATTATTATGAAAAACCTCATTAGTTTCATTCGCAGATTGTTACAAATTCAAGTTCATCCTTCGCCGAACCTGAGATAATTCAAATCTCAACTTCACTCAAATGTTATGTTAAAAAAAATCAGTTAACTATTGTGGTAAATGACAACAGAATGATGGCCAGGGCAAATTTTACAGAACGTGGAACACAAGCGAAAACATTTGAAGAACTGCGATGCTATCCCTCTTCGGCAGGTGGATCACAACAACAGTCGATAATTTTCTCAGCAGTAAACATCCTCTTCTCTATCATAGCACTTCTTGGAAATTCTCTTATCCTTGCCGCCCTTCACAAAGAATCCACACTTCATCCGCCGTCCAAACTCTTGTATCGTTGCCTGGCAACAACTGATCTGTTGATTGGACTTGCAGGCCAGCCTCTTTATGCCACTTATTATATTTCATTAGTTTACGAAGACTGGGATCTTTGTCGTTACGCAGTTGACGCCGCTTTCATCACAGGCTATGCATTATGTGGAGCGTCTTTGTTAACGATTACTGCTATCAGCGTGGACCGACTTCTCGCTCTGCAGTTGGGGCTGAGATACAAACAAGTTGTTACTTTGAAGCGCACGCATATCATTCTCGCTACGTTTTGGATTGTATCCAGTATTTCTGCTTTTTGCTACGTTCTAGATCCCCAGATATCCTTTTGGTGTAGCTATATAGTTCCACCTCCTTGCCTAATGATCTCGGTCGCCTCATACATAAAGATTTTTCGCACTCTTCGTTGTCTTCAGGCAAAAGTACAAGATCCTATTCAGCCGAGCACACCAAATGCATTAAACATGGCGCGATACAGAAAGGCAGTGTACAGTGCACTGTGGGTGCAGTTAACATTAGTTGTGTGTTACCTACCGTATATTGTGATGCAAATTAAGATTGTTTACAGTAAGACATATCCATCTCAATCTTCCATCAGTTTTGAAATAGCTTATTCTTTAGTTTACTTTAACTCGACGTTAAACCCGTTTCTTTATTGCTGGAATATTTGTGAAGTGAGGCAAGCAGTGAAGCAGACAATGAGACAGGCATTTTCCTGCGCTTGGAATTAGACATTTTTCGATCGAGTTTTGCAAGTAATGCTGCTTTTAAAAGCGTATCTGCACAATTATGGTTTGTATTAAAGATGAGAGGATTTATCGTTCTGTAAGATTTCTCCTGATTCGCTGTTGTGGTTACCTAAGCCTGCTTTTGGTTTTATGACGCTCATTCGAAAAGCTCTCTAACAGCTTTCTCATGGAGACACGTTTCTTCACCTGAAATGATAAAATTTGAAAAAAATGCTGTCATCATGCAATTCTTTAAAACGCTTTCTGTTCCTGCTTAAAATAGTTCACGAGAGACATTACAGTACACTCACGTGCTCAAAGATATTTAAAAAGAGGATAAATCGTATTTGTACATTTTCAAATTAATTGTAACGTTTTTGGAAACGGGTGTAAATATAAATGTGTAAATATATATATGTATCTATGTATGTGAGAAAAAAAACCAAAAGACTTCGAAAGGCACAAATGTTATATACTTTGGTAGTAAACGTTTCGCCGGTTAGGGCTTCATCAGTACAAAGTTATGCAAACTAAGGCTATATATACACAGTTTATTTGCATACTCTATGACTTGGGAGGAAAAATACCATTTCAGTTTCTTACTTTTGGTTTCGACAGTCATGACATCAAAACCATAAAAACAGCGTGATCATCCCCCGTAGTTTTCACTGTCTGTAAATTATGATTTTACGCACCTATTGCTCACGCTGTTTTAATTTCCCAGTGGTGTGGTTTGATTCATTCGAGCGAGAAAAGTTTCGGAATTAAACGGTAAGCATTTTACGATTAATGAAATATGTTGCATCTTCTGTCCCGGTTCATCACAATTTTGCAGTATATACATATTTTTTATTCTAGATATGTTTTGGTGTGTAGTAATGATAAATTAGATTTCTCTTGTCCTTTTTGGGGTTAAAAATTTTTAAAATTTTGCCACCAAATGCTATAGAATGTGAACCCTCTACACCTCCCTCGAAGTATTAGACATTTCGACATGCAACTTCTCTCTACGATGTCAACACATAATCCAGCAAAGAGTCGATGAGCGTAGAGGCCTGTCAGCTGTACAGGGTGTTGATGTCACACTAAATTCTTATAACTTCTTTGAAAGAAAATGTATAGCGGCTGGAAGAGAGAGTTTCGAATTAGACTTTAGAAGCTTACTGCCTGCCTTTATCAAGACCGGCCTTTTTTCAAGTCAAACCAGTATTGACTTCATAGAGGCTTAGAGTGTATGGGCCGGTTATTTACAGATTTTAGCCGTTGATTAACAAAGCCGCGTTCTATGCCATCCTCAGTTTTACCGAACCGTTTGTCTGAGCATTTGTTCTTGTGAACAATGTCAAGAGATCCGAAAGCTAATAGTAAAATGATATTTATTTACCGCGGTGTGGGTTAGACCTCGTGTAAATATTAATTTTCCTTAAGAAAATATCAAATCCAGACCAAAAGATGCAAGTTAAAAAAACAAATGCAACGAGACCAAACCGCTATATGGAGAGCGTGAGGGCGAATTTTTTCCCCCAGAAATAAATTTAAACCGGGAGTGATTTGAATAAACAGAACACCGTAATAACATGAACGTTAGTTTTATTTGGATGATCAGAGTGATACAATGAACCTCGATTTTTCTAACCTTAAAAAATTTTGATGTTTCTGATTTTAATGATCATGTTATTGTCAACGTGGCTATCCTCAAAATCTTTTCTTTTGGGGAAGATGTTCTTTCAGTTTCTTGCTTTGGTTTCACTAAAAACGGTATGTGCATGTCTCCAAAGATGTAAAACTGTTCGTATCAGATCGGTCTGTATAGCTAAAGCTTACTTTGTTTTAACTTTTCAGTGATTGCGATTTGATTCATTCACTTGAGGGAAGCTAGTTGCAAAGGAGTTGGACGGTAAGCACTATATACGGTTCATGACACATCATACAAAATCAGTTCCATCCACCGTCTATCCAGATTCCATAATTAAAGGTTATTTTACGGTTGGTGAGCGTGTACGATTTTTATTCACAACGAGTGAATAAAAATCGTACAAGCGAACTAACCGTGAAATAACTTATTTATTATATACATACCGAGATTCATAAGCGAACAGAACTCAAAGATAAACATATCTTTATTTCCTTTCAAAGGAAAACAACGCGCGGTCAAGCCGCCTCACAGTTCGAGAGTTGCACTGAAATGGCTTCCTTGTAAAATAATTTACATTTTAAATTATAAAATAATTCAAATAGCACGCGCGCTCTGATTGGCCATAAAATCATTTTACATTTTAAATCTCGGTATGTATATAATAATATTCTATTTTCCCTCTGGCTAGTTTTGCTTGAAGTGTAGTATTCAGGCGAGTCCATAGAGCTAGTAAAAACATAAAGTGATGAAATCCTTCATTCACAACCGTGATTAAAATGTGATTAATATAATATGGAAATAGAAAAACTATCCACTACAGCAAAAATGTTATTAAATGACATCCTGAAAATATGTCGAAATAGTTCTACGGAAGTTCAAAATTTGAAATACAGAAGTGAATAATGCAAAGTTATTAGGGCTGTTCTAGAAAGTTAGAAGAAGAATACAAATCAGACGTAAATCTTAGTTAACAGACACTTTATACTTATTCGGACTCAGATTCAAGTCTTGATTCCCGTGCTGTAGATAAACAAACATTGGCTTAACACGCGAGCGTTTTTGACAAATAATAATCCAAACGGATGTGCAAAGAAATCAGTTCATTAAACGCAGATATAAAACTTAGAGCAACCAACCTTCGCATCATGGTTCATATCATAAAATCAAGAGGGCGAAGTTTTTTCTTTCATTAAACAATATTACGACAGAAAGTGATTTAAAATGACGCTTCCACAAAATGAACGTTAAGTCTATTTTGAACAATGCAATTCACATGAGCTGTTTGCATTTGTATTAGTGCCGGAGGGAGGATATCATTTCTGACTATTTTTGCGAGTTTTGCTTTATTATGACAAATCCCCAAAGCTAGTTGAAAGGGTGATTCTAAACAGAGTAACCGGTAAAACAGTAACGCAATAGCGGAGCAACCGAGAGAGCAGTAACGGAAACTAAAATTCCACAGGTTAAGAAAAAAAATAAAATAATCGCACAATTTTTCCTTCAAAGGAAAACTCGTTATTTTAATTTCTAGCTTTTGGTTTCATCAGTCATAATATCAAAACACTAACAAGTGGCGTTTTCATGACACCAAAGATATAAACTATGCCAGCCTGATGATTCAGCATGGTTGATTTGCTCTTGTTTTCATTTTCCAGGCAATAAGATCTGATTTATTTACAGATTTCCTAACTTTGAAGGTAAGCACGATAATTATATCGATGATAGATATCTTGCAGAACTATCCTATCCTGCATTGCGTTTTGAATTTTACAAAATGTATTTACATTCCTTCCGAGCTGCTTTTTCTTCAGAGACTTGTACATTGTAATAGTAGTTTTATAGTAAATGAAACTGAATGTGAACATGTTGTATAATGAAGGCAATGCCGCAAAATAGTTTACCAAAAAAAGGCCAACGCAAATTCTGCACTTAGGATAGAGGCAGGATTTTGAAAACACAGCTAAAAATATTCGGAGGTGTTTTTACTCAGCCCGCGTTCTCTTTTCACAAAATAATTTCTTAACTTTTCCCCAACATCTCGTCAACTTTTTAACCAAAAACATTACGTTTATTTTCTTTTTTTGGTTTTAGTTGAAAATCTCTGAGTTAAAGTAAGAGATTATGTTCGTAAGGTAAATACGGTAAAGTATCGTTATTATGAAATTTTCAAAACTTTAACCGTCTCGGCGAGAAATTAGAATGAAAATATATATCTGACTTGTTTTAGTTTCGGCGTTATGCGAGCAAAGAACCACTTCAGTTTCCTGTTTCAAGAGATCAAAACACTAAACACGGCACATCTCTGTCCTTGGGAATAAACTTACCGAGTTTAATAAATCTGGTTTGAGAGTTAGGAGCAAGACAGGCAAAAAATTATCAACCGGATTGATGAAAGTCAAATAGAAGTTGTTTGTAAGTCGCCTGAATTCAGATTCATTTGAGAGATAAATTCATAATCGGTGACATGTCTTGCAGGAAAGTGTCACACAACTTTGTCTCAGGGGAGTTGAATTAACAAGCTGTCGCACAAGATTTTTAGCGTGCAAATAAATGCATCGTTTGCTCTTTTTTAAAGGAATTTGAGAGTGAGCAAAACAGCTGATTTACTTTGTCAAAAGTCGATAAATCGTCCCATAATTTTCCGGATTCCCCTGAAAAATTGCATCGACTGATGTACAAAATTGACTACTTTTCCAAGAGTGTTGAAAACAACTTTTATGTAAATATTATACCTTAATGACATAAAAAAAGGAACAAAATTCCTTATTGTACACAAAGTTCGTCAAAACGCTCTTTTTATGAATTGATTTAAAATTTTTTATATGAATCTTATCATGAATCAAATTAAACTAAAAAGTCAATATGGGCGTTAGAGTTTACCAAAACACGACTTCCATACCCAAATCAATTTTATGTAATTCTTAGATCAAAATTTTTCATGATGCTAAAATTTTAACCAACATGTATAATACGAAGTATATGATTTTTACCACAATTGGCAGTGATGTCGTAATTCAGTTGGCCAATTTGCCGTTGTTAATATTAACGCCGCTAGCGTTGACATGTCACGCAATGGTCACGCGCTGGTCACGTACAGAAAGAACAGTTTTAATTGAAGTCGATATTGTGGTAAAAAGACAAATCGACAGTGGTTTAGCGTGGTCAGTACTGTTATCGAAAACGATACTTGTCATCACAAATGTTAAAATTTGTTGTGGAATCACGAGGCGCAGTATCTTAACGGCGCTTTTTTTTTTTTAGCTGTAATGCGATTTCGTTTCTCATTTACTTTCAATTTACTTTCAAAGACAATGCTAAAAACGGACCAAAGCGATGAACTGCTAAACCTGATGAGTTGATAAATTGAACTGAACTAAAAAGCTGAACAGAAAGCCTTTAACTGTACTGACAATTGTAGATCAAGGTTTCTCAGAAGTAGATGGAACGCGATAAAATTTAGACCTGAAAGACGTCGTATAAGATAGAATCTTTCAGTTTAAAAAATTCACACAAACCGCCACTGGTACATTGCGTGATAATAAAATATTTTCCCTAGTAGCTTAAGTGTAGGTTTTTCTGACTTGAGTGAAAGAACAAAATCAAGATAATCTTTCTCTTATAGGGTTTCGTCTGATAGGACTTTACCAGTTTTTAAAAGGAAAACTAATGAAATTCAATTGATTTCCTGTTTTCTTTGTCTTAGGTGCAACAATTTTTTAAAGTTAAATCTCATAAGAAGGAAATTGTGATTCCTTGAAAGAAATTTAAATAACCAGATACACAAGATGATGACATTTAACTAAGCAATCAAAAGGGAAAAGGAGTAAAAATCATTTGATGTATTTTCCTTTCTGTTTATGTCAGGGCCATTTTCTTCAGCATAAAGGAAGGAGCCGTAATGAACAACATAGCAGAGGTCAAACACGCCATCCATACAGGTTCTGTTGTTGCCAATTTCCTTCACAAAACTAAACGTAATCAACAAGCAATTGCATTATGCAAGGAATGTTTAGTTTTACTTGACAACCTAACGCTGGCTGTAGAGGACCACTTCGCTAAGTTATATTACCATATCTATGTGGTGATGTTTCGGGCATATTGCGACATCTCTGATAACGTAAACGCGGAAAGTTGCGCCAGAAAACTTCTTATCATGTTGGAAGACGTGGCAAACATATATGCAAGACAAGGTAGGTTTGCAGAAGTAAAAGAAGTTTTTCAGAGTGCACTTGAAATCACGAAGGCACTTGGAAATAGAAAATGGGAAGCCAAGGCTTGCAAAAAACTGGGATGTTTCCTACTTTCAATTGGTGAATTTAAGAAGGCTAAAGGATATTTAAAGGACGCACTCGCTATAACGATTGAAATTAGTGACAGAGAAGAAGAAGCAACAGCTTGCAGAAATCTAGGAACTTTGTTTATGTCACTTGGTGAATTTCAGAAGGCTAAAGAATATTATGAGAAATCACTCCCCATCGTGATCGAAATTGGTCACAGACAAAGAGAGGCAGTAACTTACCACAACCTAGGAGTTATTTTACAGAACTTTGGTGAATATCAGAAGGCTAAAGAATACTATGAGAAAGCACTCCCTATCGTGATCGAAATTGGTGACAAACGAGGAGAGGCAGTAATTTACGACAACCTAGGAACTTTGTTCCAGTCACTTGGCGAATTTCAGAAGGCTAAAGAATGTCATGAGAAAGCACTCCCTATCATGATCGAAATTGGTGACAGCAAAGGAAAAGCACAAACTTACGGAAACTTTGGAACTTTGTTAAAGTCACTTGGTGAATGTCAGAAGGCTAAAGAATACTATGAGAAAGCACTCCCTATCGTGATCGAAATTGGTGACAAACAAGACGAAGCACAAACTTACGGAAACTTTGGAACTTTGTTACAGTCACTTGGTGAATGTCAGAAAGCTAAAGAATACTTACGCCAACCTAGGAACTTTGTTCCAGCCAACCTAGGAACTTTGTTCAAGTCACTTGGCGAATTTCAGAAGGCTAAAGAATACTATGAGAAAGCACTCCCTATCATGATCGAAATTGGTGACAAACGAGGAGAGGCAGTAACTTACTCCGACCTAGGAACTTTGTTCCAGTCACTTGGCGAATTTCAGAAGGCTAAAGAATGTCATGAGAAAGCACTCCCTATCATGATCGAAATTGGTGACAGACAAGGAGAAGCACAAACTTACAGAAACTTTGGAACTTTGTTAGAGTCACTTGGTGAATGTCAGAAGGCTAAAGAATACTATGAGAAAGCACTCCCTATCATGATCGAAATTGATGACAGACAAGGAGAAGCAATAGCTTGCGGCAACCTAGGAACTTTGTTAGAGTCACTTGGTGAATATCAGAAGGCTAAAGAATATCATGAGAAAGCACTCCCTATCATGATCGAAATTGGTGACAAACGAGGAGAGGCAGTAATTTACGACAACCTAGGAACTTTGTTCCAGTCACTTGGCGAATTTCAGAAGGCTAAAGAATATCATGAGAAAGCACTCCCTATCATGATCGAAATGGGTGACAGACAAGGGGAAGCAATAACTTACGGAAACCTAGGAGTTTTGTTAAAGTCACTTGGCGAATTTCAGAAGGCTAAAGAATGTCATGAGAAAGCACTCCCTATCATGATCGAAATTGGTGAAAGACAAGGGGAAGCAAAAACTTACGGAAACCTAGGAATTTTGTTAAATTCACTTGGTGAATGTCAGAAGGCCAAAGAATATCATGAGAAAGCATTCTCCATCATGATCGAAATTGATGACAGACAAGGAGAAGCAATAGCTTGCGACAACCTAGGAACTTTGTTACTGTCACTTGGTGAATATCAGAAGGCTAAAGAATATTATGAGAAAGCATTCGACATCATGACTGAAATTGGTGACCGGAAAGGAGAAGCAACAGTTTATGGAAACCTAGGAACTTTGTTCCAGTTACTTGGCGCATTTCAGAAGTCTAAAGAATATCGTGAGAAAGCACTCTCCATCATGATCGAAATGGGTGACAGAAGAGGAGAAGCAGTAGTTTACGACAGCCTAGGAACTTTGTTACGGTTTCTTGGTGAATATCGTGAGGCTAAAGAATATCATGAGAAAGCACTCCTCATCATGAAGGAAATTGGTGTTAGGGAAGGAGAAGCAAAAGTCTATGGAAACCTAGGAACACTGTTTTCTTCGCTTGGAAAATACAAACAGGCTAAAGAAAATATAGAGAAAGCAATGGCCATCTCCAGAGAAACTGGTTACAAACAAATAGAGGGCCATGCTTACGATGCACTTGGACAAGTGTTTTGTGCAATCACTGATCGTCAGAGCGCCAAAGAATATTACGAGAAAGCGCTTGCTCTCAGTATTAAGACGGGCGATAAAGTAGGCGAAGCACAAGTTTATGCAAACATCGGATCATTATTTCTAGAGCTTGGCGAATACGGCAAGGCAGAAGAATACCTCGAAAGATCCCGCTCTATTAGCTGTAATGTTGGTGACAATTTGCTGCAGCTTTCAACTCTGTTCTTGCTTTCAAACTTGAAGTCACAGCAATCCAAGTTTCAAGAAGCGCATTCGCATCTCCAGGAAGCTATTCAGAAATATGAGAAATTGCGAAATTCTCTACACGGAAAAGAGCAGTTGCAAGTATCTTTTTTAGAAAAAACGGGTACGCATCTCTACAAAGGACTCAGTGCACTAGTTTGTTTTAGGACAGGAAATCCTCGAGATGCACTATATATTGAAGAGCTGGGACGCGCTCGATGCCTGGGGGAGCAGATGGCAGCCAAATTTTCCGTTGAATATCACATCTCAGCGGTACCAAGATCATGGTCCAAGGTTGATAAGATTTCAAACAAAGAACGTCACTCTACTTTCCTGTACGTTTCGTATTATGCACGAACAGTTCATATTTGGGTTCTGAAGCCAAACGGAGACACTTTGTTTCGATGTTCCCAATGGATCGATGACAAAACCCTTATTGACGAGAAAGCCTTTGATTTGAACAGTTTTTTCAACAAAGGTCTTCGTGGCTTTGGCATTTTACCAAGACAGAAATGCGAAGATCGTTCTTTGAGTGAAACCATGCTGATATCACCTGATGATGAAAGCGAAACAAATCTGCGAGGCGAAGAAACTCCAGAAACTGAAAGAAGACTTAATCTTTGTTCCAAACTGATCATTGCTCCAGTAGCTGATTTACTCAGCGACCCAGAAATCATCAGCGACCCAGAAATCATCATTGTTCCGGAGCGTAGCTTGTACCGAGTTCCATTTGCAGCCCTACGTCAACAGCCAGGCGGAAAGTATTTATCGGAGACTTTCAGAATCCGCATCGTCCCTTCTTTGACGACTCTGAAGCTCATTCAGGACTGCCCAGCGGACTACCATTGTCAGACTGGTGCTCTAGTTGTGGGTAATCCTAAGGCAGGAAAGGTGCATTACAAGGGAAAAACCCCGACCCTTGTTGATTTACCTGGTGCAAGAAAGGAAGCAGAGATGATCGGACGACTACTGGGTGTCCAGCCTTTGTTAGGAGAGTGTGCGACCAGAGAGGCGGTACTTCAAGCGATCAACTCAGTGAGTCTGATTCATATTGCGGCACATGGTAACGCTGATACTGGAGAGATCGCCCTTTCCCCTCGTCCTACTGCTAAAAGTATTCCAGAAGAAGAAGACTACCTCTTGAGGATCTCTGATATTTCACAAGTTCAACTGCGAGCTAAACTGGTAGTACTCAGCTGTTGCCACAGTGGGCGTGGAGAGATCAAAGCCGAGGGAGTTCTTGGAATCGCTCGAGCATTCTTGGCATCCGGTGCACGATCAGTGCTGGTGACACTGTGGGCCATAGAGGACGAAGCAACATGGCAGTTCATGAGCCGTTTCTACAGACACCTTGTTGACGGATTTAGTGCCAGTGAATGTCTCCACCAGGCCATGAAATGGTTGAGGAACACCGGCTTTACCAAAGTCTCCCAGTGGGCTCCATTCATGCTGATTGGAGATAATGTCACATTTGACTTTAAGAAAGAAAGGTTAGTTATTTGCTTCAGTGACCATGATCAAAATGTTTAGAGTTCCTGTGTAAGGGTTAGGTATAGCCTAAACAGATGTGGAGTTTTCAAGTGATTTGGTATACATAGGAAGGAAGACGTGAGAGATTTCTAGGTAAACGAACAGTATCGTCTTGGTAAATTACCCGTAAGGTCAACGTTACTTGTTTGAAGAGGATATAAATTTCTCCATTGGCAGAAAGCAGGTTTAATGCTAGGATAATCACGATGATGGTAGCAATATTATTTTTATATCCATACCTTTTACTTGTTTTACTCATTGCTTTAGGAAAGAAAATCTTGACTGTGACGAAAAAGAATGAGAGCTGCCAGAGAAATTCAGTAAAGCCCTTTGGAGGACTCCCATAAGCTTGTCCTTGTAGACGATGTCAAATTGTAAGTTAATTTCATATCTAAAAGTCATGTTAGTATGTGTAACTTTGTATCATTCTCCAACAGAGGTGTTGTTTTGATAAGAAAGACAATGACTGTGGAGGAGATTGATATATATTCAGGCTCTGTGGCAGGTTCAGGAGAAGGCACACCCCCCCCCCCCCCTTCCCCATCATTAGACCTGTCAATATTTTTACTATTTGCCTGAAATCAAAATTCTGTTGGCAACAGGATTTATATAACTGCTAAATTGGAGGTGTTCTAAACTCACTCATCTTGAAATATATCAATTCTTGGCATGTCAAGGCTCTCAAGTAAAAACAAGAAAGAAATTTATCTCCTGAATCAAACTTTAGATCCCCCTTCCCTTCTCTACCAAGTCCCTGAATCTGCCACTGAAGCTGTAAACATGAAGCTAATGAAGAAAACCTCTTTTGAATGTTGTTTGTTGTTGTGAAATATTTTCCTTTCACATCAAGCACAGAAGTAAAGCCATTCAACTTTTAAGCAGTTACCAGTGTAATATGGAGCACAATGAGGTATTAGAAGGTTATTTCACTGCATGAAAGAAAATTAAGTAAGAGTGTTCATGGCAAGTTAAAGTTACTCCTTTGAAGCCCTGTTTCTGTGCTGTCACGTAATGCGTTGCGTGACAAGATCAAGGAGCAATGGTGGAGGACACTAATGTTCATAAAGGCTGCAAACACAAATTTCATCAGGAAAAATGTTTAAGGAATGTTTTCTCCAACAAAGAATGAGGTTGGATAAAAAATTACTCTAATGCTTGGTTTTTATAGACAACATACTGAACTTGAGTGCATTGATGTGTTAAAGTTTTCAGGTTCTTGTTTTTGTTTACAAGTCAAATGACCATTTGGTAGAAGAGGGGAAAATGTTATGACTTTCTTCAGTTATTCATAAATAAGTCAACTCCTTGTACAAAAGTGATGAAAAAATTTTGGATTTTTCAACCCTAACCTTTAACTACTAAGCAGGGTCAAGGTTCAGAGACTAAATTAAGAGTTAATTATCCCTTTTTTGTGCCAGTTACAGGAGTAACACAACACCACTTGATGTGGTGTTGCAAATGAAATCACTGAAATATTTAAAACTTCATTTGTTTAACAACAGCATTACTGTTTAATAGAAGATACTAACTATTACAAAACCGTTCTGAAACTTTCCTCTGTCATTTTTAACTCTTTAACTCCCATGAGTGACCAAGACAGAATTTCTCCTTAAAATATCAATACAACATCAATCAGATAAGTGATGAGAAGACAGAAAAATAGAACTTTGGGGATAATTGTTTGATCCAATACTAAATTCTCTGAACTAACAATATAAGAATTGTATGGTTGAGAGTAAGGAGAATTACAAATTTGATCTGGGAGTCAAAGGGTTAAGTAAGTCAACCTCTGGCTCAAAAGTGATGAGAAACTTGTGCTTTTCAGTTTAACTTCTAATTGGGTTCAAGATACTGGAACAATTAATTTAACCCTTTAACTCTCAGATCAAATTTGTTATTCTCCTTACTGTTGACCACACAATTCTTATGATGTAAGTTCAGAGAATTTAGTATTGGATCAACTAATTATCCTCAAATTGATATTTTTCTTTATTCTCATCACTTGTCTGGTTGATATTGTATTGATATTGTAAGGAGAAATTCAATCTTGGTCACTCATGGGAGTTTAAGGGTTAATAGTTATTTTTTGTTCCTCAATCATAGGAACTTGTGGTATTACATATGTAATCAAAACTGTAACAAAATTCTTGAATGTGATTGGTTAACACCAGCCTGACTTGAGCACTTATAGGACAGTGTACATGTAGTGCTTGTAATTGGAAATTGTGATAGGACAGTGTGAATGGACAGTTCTTGTCATGTGCATTTTTCAAGTTAACCATCCTATTTTTTTTTAATGAAAACCATGACTAGATATATAGTATACAGTAAAAACCCACATAAAAAAACGTGCTCCAGGGGCTCAGGCTGGTTTTTTCTGTAAAATCAGCTTGAAAATGTTCTTAAGGTGTTCTTAAAATTGTTTCTGAAAATTAAATACTGCATAGACTACCAACAGATGCAATCAATGTGCAAGCACAATATTTTAATTAATTAATGGATGGATGGAACTAATCTCGACTGCATTAATCAAGACAATAACTTTACATTGGGAGAGGTGTAGCAGTTCTGGTGTAAACAACTTGAAACTCAGCAAAAGTCAAGCAAATACAAAATGCACCAGCTACCCCTCCCTGACTTTCCAGTACTGTACTCTAGTACTGCACCCTAGTAGGTTGTTCTAATCTAACTGGCAGCCAATTTTTTTTTATATCAGAACAATTTTTCAGGTTGAATATGTTCTTAAGTATATGATACTTTTTTGACCAAATTTAAGCCTGAGTGTTCTCAATCCACATGTTGTTTTATGCGGGTTTTTACTGAGTCAGTTACGAGAATTTGGTGTTGGATCAAGATAACAACTTCTAAGCTATCTTTGGCCCCTTCAAATTCAAAGCACACAATACAGTTTATCCAATTAAACTGGAATTAACTCTCATGTATCTACATGGTAACAAAAGACATTAAAACTAAACAAGTTTTTACTAGGCATAAATCCATTTATTTTAAGTGGAATAGAATTATGCTCATTAGATTTATATAATGTCATATGCAATAAGTTTGTGCCAAATTTGCTGACGTGTGTATAGTAGAATGTAATTTGTAAAATTGGGGGCAACCAAAAAACCCCAAATAATCAATATTTTAGGTAAACAGTGTCAAGAAAATGGTTTCAAGCCAGCTTTCTTCCACAAAATACAAAACGTTAGCAAAAATTGGCAAAAATGTTGGCAAATAAATAATTTCAAAGGAATTTTTTGTTCTGTTTTGCCTTTTCCTTTCTTTTAAGATCATTGTAAGGTTTTAATCATCGAAAGCTCCAGCATCACATGTAACATGTGCTCGGTTAGTCATTTCCACCTTTATTGACGTTCCAGGTCTATGTTTTCTAGATTTTTATAATCGTGGCAAGTGTCACAGGCATCCTAAATGCTTTAAATTGCATTATGAGCTGGCCTTTGAGTTCCCATTAGATGTAATTTATTTGTACCTGCTAAAATCCAAACCTTTCCCTCCATCACCACAGCCACTTAGTAGACTTAGCACGATGAATCTCCTTTCTTAAAATCTAGCCTTTTTCCTCTAACTTTGACATAATCTCCCTGACTTTCGATGAAATATCGACCAGTGATCAAATGCACGTGGATGTTAAGTGTTGTGAATTTTTGAGACTTGTAATCCCTGAGTATCCAGGCCTCAGGAGACAACGTCTTGGAATCTGGAATGGATTATGGAATTTGGGGAGGTCGGTACGTTGGTGAAACACAGTGCTGTTTTATATTTAAGCCTCGTAAATACTGGGGGGAAAGATAACCAAACAATGGCTGCAAAAAAGACTGACCCGCGAGTGTTTTGATTGAAACATATGAGACAAAAGCCTCGTATGTGGGCCGTAGGCAGAAGCGGGAGCAGCAAGGCCGGAAGACGCTCACCGGCTTGGCGAGATGCGAGCTAAAAGAAGACAGGAAGAAAGCGGAAAAGCAGTGTTCGTGTGATAAAATGCTTATTTACCGAGTCAGGATAACATCTCCCTCTTGCTAATGACGAACAAGCCAGATATTTTCACTGCGGGATTTTTGAATCCTCGCAATGAGCACCACTCCTCACCGTACCCCACTGGGGAAATCGTGCGCTGTTTGCGCGCACTATACAAATAAATCAAAGCAAGGAAACCCGTGTGTATTGAGCGGATCAGCTGTCTGCACTTTAACAACTTTTGCAGTCATGTAGAATATGATGAGGATCTCTAGTCAGGTGAGAGATATATTTGTGGTATGCCCATCAGAAATTACTATTAATTAATCATTTTTTTGCTCTCTTTCTTTGTACAAAAGCTACTGAGGTCAAGGACATCTCAACCGCTACAGCTCGTTGAATACTTGGATCTATCTAATCTTGGACTAGGTACGCTTTCAGAAAGTGTTGTTTGATTTGTTGTATTGATGGAAAATGATGAAATCTGCTTTATTTTACAGTATCTCTTGAAAGACTCGAACTATGCCCAAAGGTTCAGACCTTGATCGTCCGTGGAAATCGAATTGAAGCTGTACCCGATTTGAGATGCTATTCCCAGCTGTGGAAAATTGACCTCGCTAACAACGTGGTAAATGTTTTTTGCCTGAGGGTATCATTAAGGCAGACTTCACCTTCTTTTATGACCTCCCTACACGAAAATATTATTTTGCCTGAAAGCTATCCTTTTTCGCAAGGGATTGTTGCGTGAAAAGTAGCTTAAAACTCAAAGCTTACAACAGACTACTCACACTTGACATGGATATCGATCAGAATTTGTAAAATGGGATGAAGCATCAAAAAAGGATGTACACTTGCGCCCGAAAATTTAACCCTCTAGTCATTTCACAAATGAATGATTTCTTTCACTCGTGATGTATAGTTCTTATAAGCTCCAAACGAGTAGTCCATGCTAACTAAGGCTCAATTTTAACGAGGTTGTGTTTCGCGTTAACAATCTTTATTCATGAGAATCTGTTTACTTAGTGTTTTGTTTGTGGTTACTGGTAACTCGACAAACATAATGGCTGCATTAAATTAATCTTCATAGTATGGCTCGAACTAATTGAAACTAATTGTCTTTGTCAACTCGAGTGTGACATGATTTGAATGTAAAGCTTAAACTTTATATTGTGTCGTCTATGATCGTAGTACTCTGTGAGTTGAATTCAAAACATTGCTCAGTTGGCAAATTTTATAACTGCGCGCTTTAGGCTTTAAAATAAAACTAAATTTGCTGCGGGTACAATGATAAAATTTGAGAAGTTGAGCGGATTGTGGAGAAGATTGTAAAGAAGTATTAGAAAATTTAATGTTGGCTGTAAAGACTTAATTTATTGGCCTTTTCAAGCTGTGCAAATTCCTATTGCATGAAGGGCAATTTCATTCTCATATTTTTGTCTGGAACAGAAGAATGGCACCTTTGTCAATCAATTGTTAGCAAGCTTGGAAATTATGTTGATAACACCTTTGAATGCAGATAAACAAAACAGAGTTTTGAGATAAATTTCTCAAGGGATCCTAGCACATAGTCTTGAGTTTAGAATAAAGGCAAATTCCTTGTAGTAAATTACTTGATTAGGAATTTTGATATTTATAATATTTTATTTCTGTGATAGGTGAAAAGTTTGGAGGGTTTGTTTTCAGTTGCTGCCTTTGGAACGCTGGTCCTAGCCAATAATGACCTTGACTGGAATGAGCTGCAAAAAATACGGCATGTTCATATACTTGATCTCAGTCTCCATGGAAACCACAAACTGGAGATGGATGCTTATTGTGAGTGTTTTAATGTAACTAACAGTTTAAACCTTTAACCTTCAGATTCAAATAGTAATTCTCTTTACTTTCTCCTATACACTTCCTTGTAACTTAGACTGGGGAATTAAATGTTTCATCAAGATGATACTCTAACTGACATCAATAGGCCTGTTTGTTCATGTAACATATTTGCAAGACAAATATTAGAAGTACAAGGAAAAATTACCTGTTGAACAGCTGTAAGAATTTAGGTTTTAAGGTTGAAGTTTCTAAGGTTACTTCTGTTTCTAAGAATCCTTGCGAAAGTTGTTGGACATTGCAAAAAGGAATCAAGCTCACCCACTTATAAAATGGGGAGTGGTAAATGTTAAATGTATAAAAGGGTAACTTTCTAAAGAAACTGTGGTGCTGTGTCAGCAGGAGAGTATAACAGAGTAATTTGGTTTTATCACCCGTAACATGAAAGCATAAATTGGCCACCGTAAGCAGTTTCAAAGCTGACGTTTCAAGCATTAGCCTTTAATGTTTGAGCAATGATAGATAATGAGTGTTGTTTGGACACTTATACTTCATATTTCAGATTCTTTGTTCTTTCTTTGTTGCTGCAGATAGGATGCATGTTATTGACAGTCTTCCCCTGGTTTGGATGCTTGATGGACGTATCATAACTTGTAAGCTTTATATTTTAAAACTCTTAACATTACTAACACTGACTTTTATAATATTTACAGTACATCTCATATTTAATCCAAGGTTTCAGAGTTTTGTTTCCTATTGGCCATGACAACTAAAATAATCTTAGCTTGGAGTGTTAGATGTTGCTGGCTGTTCACTGTTTTGAAAGAAGATTATGAAATTGCTAAGAATCGAAAAAAAAATTATTGACCAAGTTATTTTGGTGTACATATATCATGCACTTGTAATGATTTTTGATGTTTAATTTGTTTTTGCTACAGCTGCAGAACGTGCTCAGGTGGAACAGTTCTTTAAGGATTCTGCACTTTCTGATAGACCTGTGGTAGGTACAGTAGATGATTCTCAGAAAGTTGGTGAACCTGTGATCAAAAAGGCTTCTGAATAGAGTAGGAATGGAACAAGTCGTTTTCAATCTACCTGAATTTTCATCTTTTTCTTGTAATTATAAAATTTTTGTTGTGCAATGTAACATTTAATTAGTTTTCCTGATCCTATTTATTCCAGAGGCACAAGCTTCCCAAGAACCACTTTGTTCCATCATCATTGAAAAACATCTCATTGACAGGTGTTTTTGGACAAAAGGTATGTTTTGTCAAAAGTTAAGTTACAGTTATTATACATTAATCAGTGAATCTGATTACCTCTAATTTTTTATTTATTTGGACACTCAAAGCACTAGCAGTTTTCAGTTGAGTGTAAACAAGCTCACTTGTTGTGCTCATTAAAATTCACACAACATTCTTGAAGCCAGTTTGGTGCCAAACTAAACCCAGTTATCAGTTAACAGTTATTTCTTTGATGAAGTGCATGCTCTTCCCAAACTCTGAAGGCCATGCTAATTATCAAATCCCCATATTAGTTGTTCCCATACGTAGCATATCCACCAGGAAAAATGTTTTTAAGTGTACTTTGGAAAATTTTAGGGTAATTTTATATTTCAAACCAAGAGAGGTGATAAGACATATTACATTTTGTGTCCACATATCATTAATAACCTTTACAAGTGGGCCAAAGAATGACCATTTTCCTTTGTCTGTGGGTTGTCTTTTGTAGAGAGAACACTTGATGAGAAGGTTCCCTATAAAAGAAAAACTGAATGTTGGTAAGTTACAAGAAAATAAGCAGAATTCAATCACAGACTTAACATTGTTGCTCAATCTATCAGTGGACATTCTTCATCAGTTTTTACCTTTTAACTCCTAAGATCCCATTAGTAATTCTCTTTACTGTCTGACATACAATTCTTATGATGTCAATTTGGAGAATTTGGTATTGGATCAACCAATAATCCCCTAATTGATATTTTACTTTATTTTCATCACTTCTGTGCTTGATATTGTATTGACATTGTAAGAAGAAATTTTCTCAATGTCAGTGATATACAGAAAATTAACTATTTTCTTTTTTTTATTTTATGAAGTTTTAATGCTTTTAAGATATATATTAGCTTCAAAGACAAATGTGAAGTTTAAGTTTCACTAATAAAGGACTTGTAAATTTGTTTTATTTAGATCTCGATAAGCGACGACTTTTGTACCTCGCTTATGGCCTCCAGCAAGAAGTGAACCTTTACATGAAAAGCAATATGAAGTAAGTTGAGTTTACTATTGGTGATGTTTAATTGTGGGATTGACATGCAATTATTATTCATTCTGTTTTCACAATACTTGTTGTAATCAAAAGCCTTTCGACCAGTTGGCACAAAGATCTGTTTACACTTGGCCCTTTGAGCTCCCATAAATGACCAAGACAGAACTTCTCCCTATAATTTCAATACAATATCAAGCAGACAGGTGATGAGAATAAAGAAAAATGTCAAATTATCAGTTTAAAAGTTCATCCAATACCAAATTCTGTGGACTATAAAAATCATGAGAATAATATGACAGACAGTAAGGAGATGAGATCTGGGACAGTAAGGGGGTTAATTGAGATTATTCCATGGAAAGTGTGCATGAACAATTTTTATTCACAAGTTGCAATGCATCCAAAAAAACGAACTAGCGAGTGCAGCAACAAGTCAATAAAAATCATTCAAGCACTTTCCATGGTTTGATGTTTTCATTTCTTACATTCTGTGATTTTTTCACATTTCAATTCAAAGATTGAAGGAGAATGGCTATGAAAATACATTGTTCATCCAATTAGAGACACGAATGATAGCACTTCACTGCAGTGTTATAATCTCAGTATGTACAAAATAAATAACCTTATTACACACTTTGAGGAAAAGCTGTACAATTACTTATAGTTATGGCTTGGAATCAATTTTGTATATAATAATCTTGTTTCAGGGGGAAGGTAAAACCATCACTGCTGATAGAAAATTTAATAAACTACAGAAATGAAGACAAGGAAAGATGTAACATGCTATTGCTAATGCTAGTGGTGAGTTCATTGTATGTAATTTCTAGTTTTTTCATTCCGAGGAAGGGGTTGCCAGTTTTTGTCAGTATTCACTGCTTTAACATTTGGAATGGCTCCATTAATTTAACAGATTGATTATCTTTTTATTAATAATTACTTGTTGTCACCTTGCTTGGGGAAATAGCAGGGCATTCTTTAAACATTAATTAGAGACTAGAGAGCTAAATTTCACTGGTGATGCATCTCAGCTTTTTTTCCCCGGACTTGGAGAATGTTCACCCATTACTTGAAAATTGATAAATAAATCATATTAAAGTTATTAAAAACTTGATCATTGCATCAATGGCTTTTATTGGCTTAGTCACCTTGGGTTATGAGTCATACCATGCTCTACAGATATGGCAAGTGTATACGTCAGCTCAAAATTTAAGTGGAGCTAAAAATTTATTTATTTATCAATATTTTGGGGTGTTTTTAATTCAAAAAATTAATCCACTCGTGCTGGTTGGATATGAGATGATTATAGCCAACTTGGCCCTACAACTGTTCCTAGCTATCCATCATTTCATATCCAACAAGTGTAAGTGGAATAACTGTTTAATTAATATACATTGTAATTTATGATCATTATATTTATGTGGATGTATTATTCTATTTAGGCATCCCTGGAATTTGCAATTCCTTCACTGCTTGTTCAGCAAACCCTTGATATTGCAAGACTGCGAAAAATAAGGTAATTAATTTAAATCAAAATTTATTTTCTCTCATGATTGAGTCGTACTATTGACATCTCAAAGCTAAATTTACAAACAGAAGAGGCTTCATATATTTGTAGACTGGTTTGGTGTTATATCAAGGTTTTTCATAATTAAATTTCTTGATATTGAGTGTCTTAATTGTTGTAACCAGTTTACATGGCATCAAATTAAATTTGTTTTGGAGGATAAATAGAGGTCAAATCGTTTAAAATTGCAAGCGTTATTGTAGTTGTGAGGATTTGATTTTGCATTGGTTCCATATTCCATGATTTTCTGAATTCTCGTTACTTCATTACTTGACATTGAGTTAAAAGAAGTGTAATGATCTACATCCTTTTGGAATTCATTGGTTTAAAAAAATAGCAAGTGCTGTTTTTTAGTTTTTGGTGATCTGTAAGTATTCATTGTCTGTTTTCAATTTTGTTTTTCAGAAATGTTGATACCATGGATGTGTTCATGCTCCCTCGGGATGTCAGATGCCGATTGATTTCTTTGCTTTTAGGGGCTGTGAAAATTGAGCGTGATCAACACATTGTAAGTGTAACTTTTTTGTTGATCTTTGCAAAAAGAGTAGTCTGAAAAACTTTTGTGCATCATGAAGATGTCTGGTCATTGAGCAATTGTTAAGAATAGTACACTTAGTCTTGAGTAAGCAGTTTTCAAGCACAAGCAATGATGAGCAAAAATGGACTTGAATTGCTTTTGATTTTCAGTTTGTTTATAAGAAGTGTTCTTTATTTTTGTTGTCTGTTGCTAGGATGGTGGATTGTACAACAGACTGTACCTGTGTCTTTATGATCTTGTCGCTGATCTGGTTAGACTTGCCAATGGAGACAGCATAGCTAAGTATGAATTAAATCTAGAAATTTTGGTTTAGTATTTGTTCAAATCATGATCATGACATAATGACTTAATTGAGGTTTTATTATTTACAACATGGTGTGGTTACTTTCACTTGTAGATATCAAGCAACACGAAAAAGGCTGGATTCAAGGTTTGTTCCCAAAATTGAAATCATGATATTACATATTTAACTGTTCAACTCCCAAGATCTGATTGTTAATTCTCCCATTCAGCTGTTCCTCATTTCCTTGTATTTAAAGGAGAATTTGGTGTTAGACTTTCATAACCACTTCTACCTGATAAGTTTGAGTATTCTCATTACCTGTTTGCTGGATAATATATGGATACTAAAGGAAGAAGGTGCATGTTAAACACTTTAGTGTTAAAGGGTTATAACCATCAACTGTAACTTCTGATTTTTTTTTTTTTTTTTTTTTGCGGTGAACCTTAGCTATCACCATCATAAACATTTTGCTAAGTAGGAAACCTATACGCTTGGACTTGAGTATTTAAAATATTGCAATCAAATTAATTGTTTAAGGCTGAATCCCTGACTGAACTGTTTACTGAACTGTAGACTGGACCCATGGTATTGTTCTCCTGGGGTACTGCACTTTATCCCTTATGATTTATATGTATTCTGCAAACTGTAAAACCTGAATTTCTTGCTGGTTATATCCTGAAACTTGATCATTGTTTTGCTATTTACAGTCAATGTGGTTTTTCTAAGATTGGAGAAGGAACATTTAGCAAAATCAATGTTTTCTGTTTGTTGCTAAATTGATGAACATCTCTCTTAAAGCCCCACTATAATTTTATATTTCAAACATGAATACAGCAAGAACCAAGGAATTGTATTGAGGATAAACAATGATTGTTTTTCTTTTATTCTCTCATTTTTGTTTTGTTTTTGTTTTGTTTTTTTTTCATTTTTGATAAAAATCATAACAATTGAATGATGTACTAGTTGTATTTATAACATTCCTGTTGTAGGAAAGCTGGGTACAGATGCTTGTTGGCATCAGAAGTGGTTCAGCTTCTCTGTATTGTACCTGTCTTCTTTGACTTCATTGGAAAAGATCCTGGTAAATAAGATCAAGTATAAATTTGTCACAATTAATATGATTCAATGACATGGAAAACCATCAGGGAAATAAAAAAGTGAACAAATCTTTCTCTTTTAGGTGTTTTGGACTTAATAATTGTTGCCACTAAAGATGAGATGATTGGTGAGAAGATTAAGTCACTGAGCTGGAAAATTCAGTCTGAAGGGGTGAGAGTGACAGTACTTTAATTTAGGATTTTAGAATACATATAGTTAAAAGGATGTTGGTCATAACATGTTGGATTCTATGTGAGGGTAAATGTTGATAGTTGTTATTAACTGGGATGAAATCTTCTAATAGGATTAATAGAGATGAAGTAGGTAAGAACAAAACAAGGATACTGATAGCAAATTATGATGAAGTCTTTAAAATTCTGTTTGATGCAAGATAAGTAAAATGGATTTAATGGCTGAAAGTGTAACTGGTAATCCTGTGCAGTGGTCTGTACATGTTACTGTGAACACTCACATGGAATGTTATAACTTCACTATAGGTAGTCGTTGAATTCTAGAGCAGTATTGTGGAAGGGAAAGACTGCTTTTCCATTTCTATCAGTTGTAGGGTTTTTCTTTTTTTTGTTTTTTTTTTTGCTCAGAGTAATTAGCAAATTTCAGTACTTGAAGCCTGTCTTAGTTACTCTGCAAAGTGATGTTGTGTGACATGCTAGTGGATAGAAAGGTTGAGATTAGAGGTACTTTACACCCTAACATCAGTATGCATATTCTCTATACTGTTTTCTATACATTTGCTAAGGTGCTTACAAGGAGAATTTGTTTATCAATAAAGAGAATATTTAGGTGGTGATCATTTCCTTTATTCTCATGACCTTATGGTGTGATACAGGGGTTACATTGTTGGGAGAAGTCAGATGCTAGTCACTCTAGGGTTAATTTCATGAATGGAGTGCTGAAATGAACTGAGGAAAATATTTTTCCCCTGATATTTTTTTGGTTAAGTGAGTTTTCATGGTTGAGGTAAGTGTTAGTTGTGCAGAAAGAGGGAGATTAGAAACTAATTATGGGAGGAAATAGTTGAATTGATCATGTGTTATTATTGTGTTTGGATTAGGGAGGAATGAACAAAGTGTCCAGAGAAATTGCAGAGTATCTTCTGGAATGTGTGAAACAGGCTAATGCAGCCATGTCAGGTTCTACAGCAGTTCTCATTTCATTTTAAACACAATTTTGTCTCTTTTAACAATTTTTGGTTTCTGTACAATGTGACGCGTATTAAAGAATGTCAAGTATTTCCCCAAAAAATTTCGAGATTCCTAAAAACAATTTGACAACTCAAGAGTGCCTTTCTGTGCAGCTCCTTATTTTCAAACAGACTGCCAACTGATCTAGATTTAGAACAGAGTCATTGGGCAGCTATCACATGGGGGATCTAAATTTAAGAAAATCTGTTAATTTTTGGCTGGTGCTTTTGATGTAAAGTTACTACATTTCTCAGAAATCTCAAAATGTAGCAAATTGTTTTATTGTATTTTTCAGTAAATTTGAAGACAATCTCAAAACATAAAGGAAGCTACTGCTGCAACAGTTTCTAGACCCTTGGAATATTTTAAGCTCTTTTAATTGAAAGCTTTTTTATTTCATACTAGGAAAAAAGGGCACAGACCATGGGAAGCTCTTGGAAGCTGAGAAACAAGTTAGCAGTGTAGAGCCAAGTTATGTTATAACTGTAAGTTTGCAACAAACAGCTGTTTTTTCTCTGTTTAGAGGCTAAGTTTTCTTGGTTTACATTTCTTTAAATGTCACCAGTGTCTTTGCATATTATTTTACTCTTTAACTCCAAAATGATAAACATCAGTGCATAACTTCTCCCTACATTTTCATCACATCATCTAGCAGAAAGGTGATAAGAGTAGATAAACTGGTCAGCTATAGGGTGTTATCTTACACCTGTTATGGTCCCTGCTTGCAACTGAAATTGAATCTAACGTTGTTCAAAAGTTCAACGTTAGAGCACTTTTCAATCGAGAGTCTCAGAACCAAAACCAATGAAAGTCATCTCAAGAAAAAAAAATGCTATAAATCAAGAGCTAATAAGAACTCAAACTAAAACTGACCAGGCTGCCTAAAATGCAGGAAAATGCTGTCTACTTAGTTGTGTTTGGTTTTAATTTTGCATCTGATTGGTTAAGAGGGTGGTGCATGTTTTCTGGACCAATCACAGAGCAAGCACTTCCATATTCATTTCTTTAATTTTGCATCTCATTGACTGAGAGAGTGGTGTGTGTTTTTTGGACCAATCACAGAGTAAAGTAAAGTAAAAGCAAAGCAATCTCAGATTACTTTTGATGCTCAATTAAAAAGTGCTCTAACTCTAGAAAGTGATTTCCATGTTTTGTTTTTAAGTCAAAAAGGTTGTTGAAGGCAAGCCATGAGAGGCCTCACTCTTGTAAAGGATCTGTCTGGTCAAAACTACAGAGGTTGGTTTAAGTTTTATTGGAATTTTATCTTGGAAGGGCACTCTTTTTGTGTGGTGAAGGTGGGGGGAGATCCTTGTCCAAAAAGTGTGTGACCATATAAACATCAGAACTTTTCAATTAAATTTTTCGATGACAAAGATCTTGGCACAGCAGAAGGTTAACTTGACCCCACCAAAAGGTATCACCCCAAATTTTTTATTGTCAAAAACAGAACTGGAAATGATCAGATTTCTTCTACAGGAATGCAGAACCCTCTAGAATGTGCCTTGTTCTGCATGTGTGGCTTTCTAAGCCCCCAACAAGTATCTGGGAGGCACATGTTTGAATTCTGTTAAAACCTTGAAAGTTTTGTTTATTTTCTCCGCATGCAGTTGCCCAAGTCTCGGGTAATCTGTGAGGATCATTCATTTACTTTATATGCTTACACAGGTCAAATGAAATTTATTTTTGTAAAAAGTTATGCAAAGCTTGGAATTCTCAATCATTTTTTTAAGGGATGACTTACCTAATGGATTTAAAAGCAGAGCTTCTGCAAGAGTCATGTCTGCTGTTGGTGCAAAAACGAACCAAAAAGCCGCATTACAGAGAAAAAGGATCAAGTTAGTTGGGAGGAAACCTGGTAAAATCCCATCAATGTTTTAATTCTCCTTCCATTTTACTCATTAACTAAACAACTGTAAGTAGACAATAAAAATGATTAAAATTGGGAATACCTGTGAGTATCTTAAAAGATGAATCTATTCCTTGTGTAAGAATTGCAAAAATAACTAAGAAGTAACACTTTGTTTCAAGAACAGGGTTGAGAGAAATTCTGCAGTCTGTGTTACAGTTTGTTTAGTTGACACTTACTGAACCAGCCTAGTATTTATTTAATATTTACAGCATCTTGAAATTTTGCAAAAACATGGAAATTCCAAACCAAATTTCAAGACCTGGAAATACCGGTAATATAGAAGACAAATTTTAATCTTGACAAATGTGAGAGAAGTCAAAAGGCATTTTTTTTTTAAAATAAATTTGAAATGAGGTCATTGTAAGCTAGCAGAATCTTAAATTATAAGCTGTTATCAAAAGTAGCTTGATCCAGGTATTTTAAGTTGTGGGCCAAACCCTTAATAATCATCATCCTACTCAAGGGATTGACTTTGAATCATAACTTTGTGACTGTAGAGTAACAATATTTTATAGTGCATTGGATGCCATTGTCAGACCATAGGTAAAGCCAGTACTCACTCATGAATAAAGGGGGTAAATATTTCTGAAGAAACTGTGGTGCTGCATCAGTGGGAAAGTATGATGAGGTATTTGGTATCATTGACTCAGTTGATAATGTAAATTGGCCACCATAAAGAGTTTCAAAGCTAACATTTCAAGCATTAGCCCTTTGTCAGAGCTTTTGCCCTAACAAAGGGCTAATACTTGAAGCATCAGCTTCGAAACTCTTTATGGTGGTCAATTTACATTGTCAATGTAGTTGATATAATGCCAAATTTCCATTTTACTGGTACTGATTTATTTCATTAGGCACCTGGATAATGTGAACTCTTTTTTTTTTTATTTTAGTGCTTGGTGACAGAGTAGAGGTTGGCCATCAGGTACAACTCATTTTGTTTTAGAACTCTCTCCATCTTGCTTTTTGGAAAAATACCCTACTCTATTTGATCTTTTGTTGAAGAATGCACATGAACATAATGCTACTATAACCACTCATTTGAAGCTAATGATTTCTAAATTCTTCTTGTCTGAGTTCATTTTTTGGAAAATGTCCTCTGTTGCTAAAGAGAGAAGGTGGTAACTGCTTTTAACATATTTGATCAGTTAATTTTGAAACATGAAGTTGTTTGATTTTCCTAGACGTATGGACGCCTCGTAGCTCTTCCAGAGTCGGACATGGGCTTAGTTCAGCTGGAGACTGTAGCAGGTACATATATTATTCTGAAAAACAAATCCAGTGAGGTTTATTTACAATTTGAATTAATCAGTGGATAAGTTAACGATAAAAACCTTTCCTCAGCTCCCAAGTTCCAGCAGGCAGACTATCCCATCAATTACCTGGACCAGCAGTTCCTGTATGTTGACTTTGCTGATATCAACTGGGATTGTGCATCAGGGACATGGAGACCATCTTATTCAAAGTGAGTATTAATTAAAAGTAAAGTGGACATTTCTGGCCAGATAATCTAAATTCTCAGCTAGAACCCTGATATAGACTAGCATTGCACATAGCCATGAAATTTGCTTCAATTTGCTAAATATTGGACACAATCTTTCAAAAATTAAATGGTTGGCGTTGCAAAAACAGTTCAAAGGTAGTGACTCACTGTGTTGATTGACAGGGGTCTTTCCTGCTTGTAGCAATTTGTCAATAAAATCAGACTCTATACTAGTTAGGGATAATAAAACAATTTCCTTTATATTCAGAGAATTCGTGGAAAGTCGCAGTCAAAAAGGTTAGTATGAGTTAATTTGTTTGGTACATAAATTAATTGAGTCACTCTTAACATTAACACCTGCTGAAGGGTAGCTATTGGATCCTTAGTTAGTGGCAGTTACTAGTAACAGCAACTGTAATTTATGCTGTCAAATGTGAACAAACTCTGCTTCATTTTAGGATCAAGGAGTAAAACACTCAACACAAGCTATGATAACAGGGTATGGCTCAATGAAAGTTTACTATGATTTTGCTTATAGACTCAGTTGATATCTTTTATTATTAGTAATTAACTGTTATTAATATTTCCATTAATGTATTGAAATCATTCCACTATAAATGATTGACAGATTTATTAATTGACTGAGTGACTGATTGATTGGCAGATTGGTTGAGCATTTGATTGACTTACTGATTAATATGATCATAGCTGTTTTACTGTGCCTTGAAGAATGCTTCACCCATAACAGCACTTAAATCTGTGATAACAGTAATGAGGTTTTTTTTTTTTTTTTTAAATCAATATTTTTCTCTAGGAAGAGGTTGCTCAATTTCTATCAGATGCCATCAGGCAAAATCTACAACTCAGAGTTGATCTGCCAGCAGCCTACAATACTGATGCCACATCAGCAATTGGGGAACCTGTAGCAACAGGTAAATGAGGCAAATTGAGCAGTGTTTCAGGTTTATCAAGATTCAAAGTTAATAGCTGTCATGGTGGTATGCAAGTCTAAGAAACTATGCACAAAATCTAAGATAATGGATATTACCATAACAAAGGACTCAGAAAGTGTTTGCTTATTTTGTATGATTTGTTTTTCCTTTTTTCAGGAGAGACTGTAATAACAGATCATGTGAGATCAATTGTACGAGAGTGCCTGCAAGAAGCAGATGTAAAATGGACAAGCTCTTATGAACCTGATATTAATGGCAACCACTTGCATGATCCAACAGATAATGATGATGTTGAGCAGCCTGTGCCAGAGAAGGCTGACAACTTGGTATAATGAATTTAAAATATAGAAACATCTTTAACTTATAAAATCTTATGAAAGATGAAGCACCCCAAATGATAATGATTTTGCAGCTACTGTTGCTTATGTTTTACCAGGATCCAAAACAGCCCTAACTTCTTACTTTCTGGGAAATGTTAATTGTGTAATATAATTCTCTGAGGGACAAAATTTTCCAGAAAAGTGTGACAACCAATGCTTGACTCTGAAGATGTGTTTTACTCAGGTGGTCACAATGTCAGTCACTACTGCAACTATTACAAATGAAAAGTGTCATTTTCAAGACCACTCCCTCAGGTACAATCAGACCACACTGTTGCCCCAGGGTGTAAACCATCCTCGATGTGGAAATGTGTCAGTTTACCATTTGGATTTTATCCTCATGAAGGTTAAGTCTAAAAGTCTTTGGACCAGTATCCTTTGCCATTTTTTGCAGGCTCAAAAGGGATTTGAGCTTGCAAAAGCACAGGCAGACAAGAAAAGAATTTTAATTCTGACCAATTTTTCATTTTTCATTTTTCAGTCCACCCCTGTTGTTGTATCAGAGGTGACAGCTAATGCTGATTCAGAATCCTACAAAGGTAAAGTTTGCAACAAGAAAATATGTTAACCCTTTAATCCCTGAGAGTGACCAAGACAGAATTTCTCCTTACAATATCAATACAACATCAAACCGATAAGTGATGAGAATAAAGAAAAATATCAATTTGGGGATGGTGAGTTGATCCAATACTAAATTCTCTGAACTAACATTATGAGAATTGTATAATTGACAGTAAAGAGAATCACAAATTTGATCTGGGAGTGAAAGGGTTAACTTAACATAAAAGGTAATCTGCTTAAATAATTGATACTCAATCACCAGCCAAAGAATTATTATTTCAGATTGGATGGATATATATTTACTTTCAGTGTAGCCGTCTAGATTGAGAGACAAGTGCAAACAGATTTTCCTAACTTTTTTATGTCAAGATTACTTCAACTTTCACAGTTACTCTTAGACTGCAAAGAGATTTGAGAAAATAGTGTTTTGTTACTCATTATCAATCACAAAGACAATTGTAAGCCTTCAAGACATAGAAATACTACATGTACAGTGTGAATTAATTGCAGTGTCAAAAAAAAATCAAATGCTTAAAAAGAAAAAAATTCACCTCTGACACATTTAACATGGCTGGTCTTAGTTTGCACCAACAACAAACAATCAGTTTGTTGGTTTATTGGAGCATTGAAATTGTTGCCAAGCTATTTATGTGGAAAAGTTGTGCTTAAATGATATGACTTCTTCTCAACAGATTGCGATGTGTTAGAGGAAGATACTGAGGTGAACAGGTAAGAGGGGAATCAAACCCTGTTGTATAGTTGGGTAATTTAGTATCATCAGCTGAGTTCATAACGTAAATTGGCCACCATAAAGAGTTTCAAAGCTGATGCTTTGAGTGTTGTTGTGAGTGAGTGCAACCTTGGGATAGACTGGCATCCCATCCAGGTGGAGTTAGTATTACTTGTAGTTGCTTCACACTATGGAAACCAGGATCTGATGAGTTCTCTCTTGTTCTTTAGCAAAGAAATTGAAGAAAATTTTCTTCTTATGGAGGATGAAGGTGATGACATTGCTTTGGATGATCTTGGCTCAGAAAGTGCACAGTACTTTCCTGTTGATTCTGAAGGAATGGAGGAAATGGTCTCATACACAGAACATGCCAGAATAAATGCATGGAAGACACCTGAAGTGATTAAAAAGGCTGCTGAGAAAGGAGTACCTTCTAGGGTGGGGAGTGCTACAACAAGAGTGAATTCCATTTCAGCAGCCCACCCTCCCCCACAGCGACCCTCATCACCAACCCAGCCAGGTGTTGTTCCATTTATACAGGCCAACAGATGGTTGGCAGGGGGTCGGGATGTGAGTAGCACATCTGTCAAGCGTGCATCTGTTCCTCTGCCAGGATGGATGGAAGGATTGGAAGAAAGAAGACCCAAGTCTTCTCCAGCTATGAGAGGTCCTAGGTAATATCCTTTAATTTAAATATAAATGTTATTGATATGGCAAATGCTATAAACTGGAGCCAAGTAATTTTATCTTGAAATTATTCCCAAGTGTTTCCTCTCTGAATCACTCCTTTCATTATTTCAATTAGCTGTGGTACCAGTAACTTTGGTTGTCTCTCTTTTCTCACATCTTTTTCAGAGCCCTAGCTCAGATATTCTGATTTACAGAAATCCCTTTAATAGCTGAAAGTCATGCATTGAAATATTTTTTTATGTGCCAATTTTATAAATTTTTTGTAAAAATGTTGCTATGATCTAGTGCCAAACCTCAGGGGATATAGCATCAACTGTTGCCAAGAACCTCACTGTTTCTTGAATCTGTTGGACTACAAAAACTTCAGCCTAGACTTTTGGAAACACTTGTACCCCTAATCTGTCTCTCATCTTAGAGTTTCTGTGAAGTATATGGTTATAGAGTATTTGAATTAAAAAATTGTAATGGATAATTTTTTGGGGTGTGATTGTTTTTCTGGTAGGCAAACCTCAAGTCCAATTACCTCTCGGACAAGAGTGCCTAGACCCACAACAGGTACTGAATAACTCAACAGAATTTCAGCTGAATTTGATGTGTTGAACCATTTACTGTTTACCAGGAGTGACATGAGGCAGCCCTTGTTTTCAATAACTCACCTACTCATAGTACATGTGCTATGATTTGTCAATTTAGCAGACAGTATTTCACTGTATGGCCCAGTAAATTTACAAGTCTGTTTGAGTTGAAATATTTCTGCCCCATCTGAACCCTAAGATATGATAAATATCTTGCAGACTACAGTTTCTTGGTTGGTACTGTAAGTAGTTAAACCTTGTTTTTTTTTAACCATTGCCCTTGGGCCCTAAATCGAGAGGAAAAAACTTGATTTGTAACTTATGGTACGCACTTAAAACTTGGTCAGGAAGAGGTATTTAGGTGAAAAAAAAAGTTAAATTCTTTTATGATGCAGGGCGACCTCTAGGGCAAAGTGGACAGTTCATAATGAGAGGATCTTCTCATGTACAGTATCAGTTTCAACCTACTCGGGTATGTAAAAGATAAAGTTTACACTCCTTAAAAAATAGATATTCATTTTAAGTTGTTCCTTTTGACCTGCTTTTCCCATTTTGAATTTTTAACCTAATGCAATAGTGTTAATTTGACTGTGGCAGACAATTCAAAGTGAACAGATTGCATCACAGTATGCCACCTCTATGGTGTCATAAGAATCTAAGGCATTGGCATTTCCACTTAAGACTTCTCTTTTGATATACTACTACTAAATTTTGGTTAGAAAAGGCTTTTTGCTATTATGGGGTAAAGGCTGTGCTGCACTTTTGTTGTTATCAGGCATAATAATAAAAAAATTAGTGGAAGTTGATTTGAAATTACTTTCATCAGTTATTTTCTGTGTTGACATAATGTTTTACTATAACATCTCACTTAAAATCAATAGCTAATTATTAATTGGTAACTTTCTCTTCTCTCATACAGGTTGTCATAAGAAGGAGATAATGGAAGGTTACAGTCACATGACGTGTGCTTACGCTTCATTACATTTCCTTCTATATCATTTAAATTTTTCTCAAACAATATACCTTAAATTTTGAAGTTTAAGGGGACTATGTAAAATTCATGACATGATCATGAGCCACTGACCTATTAAGTCTGTTTCCATCCTTACCTTTACTGCTTCTCCAGTGATTTATGAGAAAAAAAATACTTGCACTAATGCATCATATTGATAGAGCAAATAATGATTGGAAAGGACAGATTAAGGCTTTTTTTATGCAAAAAATTTTAAGTGGTCAATATTTTCACTTGCTCCACTATTTAAATCCACTTTACAGAAAACCTTCTGACTTCTCTAAAGCCTTGTGAAGTATCAAGGTTTTGGCAAAGTGCTGTTTGAACTTTTAAAAAATATATTTAAGAAAAGAAGTTAATGTTATGTTATTTATGCTGTTAGTCAGCAACAGATTTTCAAGTTGACTGCACCATCAGTCAGTTTACTTTATGTAATTGCTGTCTTTGACCTCTTTGTAGTAAAGTTAACATGCACATTTTATTTCTTACATACAGCATAATCTATCATTATTTAATGCTGTTGTAGGATTCATACCTTTTTGCTGGTTTGTGTAACTATTTAATGTTTGATTGTTATTTAAAATCTGGTTTAAGTGTACCAATAGATATTTATATTTAATCATAAAAAGAAGGATATTTTTTTAGAGTTGTGAGGGCTTATTAAAAGTAATATACAGTTGACAAGATGTGGTTAATGGATATTTGTAATTAATTTAATAGATGCAGCCGGTCATTCGTTTTCGTGTTGATAATAAACATAATTACTATTTTTCTGAAGTGTGAAAGTTCAGATTTCTTTGACTCCTAAGAGCAGTATTCAAATACTCAAACAATGCACTTTTATCACAGAAAATGCTTTATTTTCATTACTCTTGGACCTTTTTTACTGTGGTCATTTGGTTGACCAAAAATTTGTGAATTTATTCCTTTTTGAGGTGGAATGATTCCCAACCTTTTAAATCCCTAAGGCGGAAAACATGTAACTTCTCCTAACAATATTAGTACATCATTCTGCAAGCAGACAACAAGAATTAACAAACTCATCAGTCAAATGCATTACATTGATACAGCACCGAGTTCTCATAACAGATTTTCAAAGAAATATATTAATAACAATTAGAAGGGAATTTTTTTAGAGATCAGATGTAGGGAGTTAACCTGTTCATCCCTAAGAGTGACTAGTGTCTAATTTCTCCTCACAATATCACCCTGAACCACACATTAAGGTCAGGAGAATAAAGGAAATGATCAGCCTGATTGTTAAACAAATTCTCCCTTTTCTAGCACCTTAGGAAATGTATAGCAAACTGTGGAGAATATGCATTCTGATGTTAGGGTGTAAAGGATTAAAGGGTCAGAAGAAAGGAATAGCTGGGATTAAAATGGAATCAAAAATGCAGAGAGAGTATTGCCGTAGTAACAAATACAATATCACTGTCACAATTATTTTTGAAAATTTATTTAGAGTAGTAGGGACTGATGAACTGTTTAAGTACATATATCCTGAATGACTACTGTAGGCCATCTCATCTCTGAAACCAAATAAGCAAATGCACAGAGATGGAGGCAGAGTGTATTGGAGCACATTTCAGAGCTAATCAGAAAGATCTTTCTCTTCAACAAACTCTAAATTTTTCCCATTCAGCAGCTTGCCACAAAGACCTTTGTGTCTACTTTACATCGAAAGTCAGTCACTTAAGATCAATACTTGAGTTCCATGCATTTTGCCAAAATTTCATGTTCTCATCATTGGTCGCTCTCAAATCTTGGTAAAACAGGCAAAATAAGGTTTCCATGGGCTGAGTCTTGAGATATGAAATATCCAGATGATGTTGCATTAGCATGCTGGAGGAAAGAAAAGAAAGTTTGGTTTTGTCAAAATGCAGGGTCTGGAGAAGGAAATTTTACATAGAAAATGCTATTTTTACTAATGTCTCAATCAGGAACCTGAATGTGAAAAATGTTACTGAAAAAATGAAGAATTTGTATCTGTCTGCATGAGAGAAGGGCACTGTTGTGTCTTGAATTCATGATTAAGAATAAATTAATTATATTGCGATCTAAGTTGTGATTCCATTGTCTTCATTACTTTTGAAGGCAGAGTTAGCCAATTCCAGGTTGTTGCAATCACTCAATGAAGAAAAGTGAAAAAGCAGCTGAAAAAAAAAGGCAGTCTTTGCCTCACCATAATCCCACTTTGCATCAACTCACTTCACAGCCAAAGACCCCACACAGGCCTATACAAGGTCTTTACACTTGACTTCAGTTTGGAAAAATATTATTAATAATGGACTTACATCCAGTTATGTGCAAAAAAGAATTCAGAACAATTAATTTTATTAATATTGTTCTTGATATCACTCAGTAATATTTGCTTAAAATATTAACATTGAGAGACTCACTCCCCCTGAAAATAATCATATTATTTTTTCTTTGCAAAGTTATATACCTACCTCAAGAGCCTGCCGCTGACTCAATGACATGTCAGCTGGGTTGCGAATGACCTGTCAATGAAAGCATAGAGTTCATTATTTAATTTACATTTGAAAATTAATGAATTTGGGCAGAGCACTTACTGGGGTGTCATGTAGTTTTACAACTGGAGCAGTGGAAGTTTCTGGTCCTATTGAGCGGTTCGAGGGGAGATTTGACCTGGAATTGAAAAAAATAAATTTTAAAATAAAATAATCTCTAGGTGGCACTGAATCCTTCAGGGGTAGGATTGTCTTCAGTCATTATCATTTGTTGGCCACATTTGATAGAAACTAACACTACTCAAGATAAAACACCAGCAGAGTGTACAGAAGATTGTCCAAATGTTTTCAAGTCTCCACATGTGCTGGTTTATAGCATTAAAATTCTGATCTCAAAAACTCAATTTTCAGCAGGTAGGGATTTCACGCCCTAAATATGTCAGTTGATTGTCATATTGATGTGGTGGCCAATATTTGGTTAACAGTTTGCCAATATAGCTGAGTCTGTCCTATTTATTGACTATTAGCCCATCATTGGTTAGCCCTTTAAGCATGCAGTGTTGTCTAGCATTTTGCAGAGTTAACTCTTGTTTTTTTTCTTCTGAAAACATATAACCAATGTCTAGTTTCTTCCTCAAATTTTGTCATAGTTTTGATTAATTGGTAACAGGACTTCATGTCATATAATTCTGTCTGTAATCATACTCGTGATTAACAAATTGGACTCCCGCTTTGCAGTCATCCAATTTTGTTTTAATTATCACTTGTATGATTGTAGACCAAATCGGACTCCCTCAGTCCTATCACCATTATTAACTATTGGTTAAGTGTTAAGTGTTGTTCTACAGTAAAGAGTTTATCATTCTATTATTACTGGCCCACTAACACCTGACATTTGACAAGCTCTGAACAAATTACTGATTGCTTCTCAGCCAATATATCAACCAATAAATTGCCCTTTATATCAACCTAGCCTACAAAAAATAAATAAAGAGGAAAAATGAAGCAGGACTGGAGGCCAATGTTCCTCTAGCATGTAAAATTTTCTTTGCACTAAGGGAATTGAAAGTGTCTTTTATTTACCTATCATGTGCTAGTTTCCCTTTCAAGAGTGGCAGAGGAAACAAATCGATATTTCTTAGGAAAACGTTAACCATCAGTTATCAGATATCATTTCAAATATTTCCTAAAATGTTCTAAACTTTTGATCTTTCATTACTGACAATGAAACAGTGGACAGCCTTAGAGAAAAAAAAAGATGACATCACAGAATTTCAACAAAGCAATTTGCATTTTATCTTTGCTCCCTAGGCTATAAAAACTATAAAATTTTAACCAGAAGAACACTAGTACTTAAAAAAAAACATTTGTTGGGCCACACTTACCCCATAACACTCCCTTGCCCTTGATTCAAAAGCATCTGTCGTTTTTGCTGAAGATCTTGAAGAATCTGCCGGTTTTGTGATTCTGCCATTACAGAACGCGAAAGATCAAAGCGAGATTTATTTTCACCCGAAACGAGAGAATATAATAAAGATGAAATTTTTTCTTGGAATCTGAAGTTTTTTTAAAATAAATTTAATCCTTCGAATCCTTTCATTTAATTCTTAATTTTGACGCCTACTTCGCCATACAACTGCCTTTGCAAAAATCAATAATTATTTATCGATTCGCCAAATAATGAAAGGCAACTTGGGTACTTGTCAATAAATTATGCATCAAACAGGACCGCGAGTTTCGAAGCGAAGAATAAGTACCGCTCGGGGTTTTCTGATAGTCAGACACTTCCCGCATCCGGTCACTGGTTATCGCTTTATTACGGACAGGAATACTTACCTTGCCCTCCTAGGGGCTGGAACGCCATCACAGGCTATCAAGGTTCCTCTGAATATAATTTTAACCGACCGATCGACATTCAAGAAAAGTCGTAAGCCTAGTCCGCCATGTTGTTTAACTACTCGAACCAGCCTCCCGCGTCCCTTTCGCGTGCCGAGAGCGAGACGCGTGACAGCTAGTTGTGCAATCCTAGTCACGCTGTTCCAAACTAAATTCGTGATAATCTTGTGGTTCACACCATGCACTCTTAGCTCAGGTGATTTTTTTTCTTTGAAAATATTTAATTGGGTAGCTTTGTGTTCTTCAGTGGCTCCTGACTGTGTTTCTTTTTCTTTGGCCATAACTGTCGCCGTGAGGAATTTTGAGTGCAATGGAGCTGTGCAAATTACTTCTAGCAGTTCAGCTGATATACAGCATCCGTGCAGGTACGCGGGGTTGAGGCATTGATTTTCTGTTTGTGGCGATTATAAAATCTCAAACTTTTGTTTTATGGAGAGAGGTGAAGGTGGAGAACCTTGAGTGGACTAGCATCGCATCTTAGGAGAGTACATACACTCTTGGTTGCTCCATATAATAGAAAAAAGGATATGCCACGTTTACATGCCCTTTATACTCTAACATCAGTATGCATATTCTCCATACTGTTTTTATATATTTCTCAAGAAACCGACAATGAGAAATTGATTAACAATCAAGGGCTTCTGTTGTTGGTAATCATTTCCTTTATCAACCTTATCAACTTTAATGTTTGAGGTGAGGAATTCGATGCTAGTCGCTCTAAGGAGTCAAAGAATTAATAATTTAAATTTAATTGTTTTCTCGTTCAAGAATTCGACATTCAGCAAGTAATTGTGATATCACGTCATGGAAGCCGTACACTTCTTGCCAAAGATCACAGCACCTTTGAGGAAGGAAGTGACAGTCAGCTGACGATAAGAGGAATGAATCAAATGTTCCAAGCTGGAGAGTTTGTTAGAAAACATTATCAAAAAGCTGGCTTCTTGTCTGATGTGTATTCACCTCAGGATGTGTATGTGAGGTCTAGTGACTATTCCAGAACACTTAACAGGTAAATTGTATAACAGAAGACAGTTTTTTAAGAGTTCCAGATCATTGTGTTACAGTATTTCTTGAAGCCAAAGATTAGATGTTGTGGTATCATCCTTAGTGTGCTGGACTCCTGGTCCAAAACCCTGGTTTTAGCATTAACCACATTTAACTGTAAGGGAAAGTAGGTGAAATCCAGGGATGTAACCTGTAATTCACTAGCATCCCATCAAGGGAGGAGAAGATTTCAATCCTGCTTCATCCTGTAGAAAACAGGACAAACTGTTGCAGCCATATGCAAAATACAGTGCATTTATCAAACAAACCGACATCAATCTGGATTAAAGCACACACATACAGGGCATGTCATTGTCTCATAGATACACACGTTAAATTATTATCTAACAATATGCATGGTTTATTAAACAAGACATTGGTCTGACAGTTGAGGAGGTAGAACTTAAATGCTCACAAATACTTCACAAATAGAGTAATAATGATAATAATAATAATAATAATAATAACAGTATTTATAGAGCGCTAATTCCCAATGGTCCAAAAGCGCTTTACATAATAAAAATAACAAAATCCTAAACCTACAAAACTACATTGTCATTCTATAAAAATTCCCAATGGTCCAAAAGCGCTTTACATAATAAAAATAAGAACAAAATCCTAAACCTACAAAACTACATTGTCATCCTATAAAAACATCATCATTCTATACAACATCATAACCAATTTTAAAAAGCCACGTCTTGAGCTTAGATTTAAAAGAAGAAAGGGAATTACAAGATCTAAGTTCGAATGGAAGTGCATTCCAAACAGAAGGTGCGGCAATAGTAAAAGACCGGCCACCATAAGTTGTGCCACCACCATAAATAGTGTGCTACAATTACATTTCTAAACTCTTCACACCATAATATCAGTATGCATATTCTCTATACTGTTCTCCATTCATTTCTTACGATGCTGACAAGGAGAATCTGTTTAACAATCAGGAGCTTTGTTAGTCGGTGATCATTTCCATTATTCTCATGACCTTAATGTTTGATTAAGGGATGATATTGTAAGGAGAAATTAGATGCTAGTCACTCTTAGGGGTAAAAAGGTTAATATCCATGTTTTATCTTTTAGTGCATTGAGCTTTCTTCTTGGACTTTATCCACCAAGAAATCAGTCCCTAAATGTTTCCTATGCTGGGCAAGTTTTCTATGCACCTTACAACATACAGCAGGTTTGTTTTTTTTTTTCTTTATGATTAATATCAGGCTGTGGTTCATCTGAGGTTTGGCAGCTGCATGACATACACCCCCTCTAACCTGTTCATCTGAGGTCTGGCAGCTGCATGACATACACCCCCTCTAACCTATCCCACACCTTCTTCCAGTTTTGAAAAAAATGGTACTTTCCACTTATTCACTTACTAAGTCAGACAACCTTATTACAGACTGAATTTGACTCCACTCAGTCCTATTACCATCAAGCTATTATTTATCTGCAGTCAGGCAGCTGCACTTCATACCCCCCCTCCCTCCTCCTCACCATTCCCACACCTTTTTTCCAGTCTTATTGGCCCTCACTATAAAATAGGATTGTGGCAATAATGATAATAAAGATATCCTAGTGACAGCTGTGAGTGGTAATCTTGTAAAGTCTATTGTTGATACTTTTCCCACAGTGCTCACAAGGAGAATTTGTTGAACAATCAAGAACTTCTTTATTTGGTGATAATTTCCTTTACTTACACAACCTTAGTGTTCAATGCCGTAAGTGATTTTGTGAGGAGAGGTTGGATGCTTTTAACTCTTAGGGGTTAAATGGTTGGATATTATTTACTCATTCATTTATTATTTGTATTTCTATCTTCTTATTTATTTTGTTTTTGACAGGTTCCAATACACACAGTTGCAGCAGAAAATGATCAGGTGCTCAGAGCATGGCTGGCTTGCCCTGAGCTTCAGAAAAAACTTGCAGAGTTTTACACAAGCTCAGAGTTTAAGAAAAAGGAAAGTGAGAGTGCAGAACTACGAAAACAGCTTGAAAACATTCTGGGTGTTAAGAAGATTGACCTTAAAGACTTCTACAATGTGTAAGTGACATTATTAGAAGATGATTTTAGATTGCTTTATAAAAAAAGATGGCAAAGGGTCTGTAGTGTATGCTTGAAATTTGATTAAGGCTACAGCTAATATTTGACAGGTGAATTGAACAAGAAGGCAAGCATGATGTGTGAATCCATGAAATGCTGCAAGGTTTAATCTACTTCCTGAAATATATGTGACCTATGAATTTTTCTTTCATTTTGGGAAAACCTCAATATTTCCCTAAAACCTTGTACACAAGAAGAGAGATTTGAAGTTTTCTCTTTTAAATTTGTGATGCATGAAATGGCATTTAAAGTATACGTGGCTCATAATTTTTTCTTAAAATTTTTTAATAATGGGAGGTCAGGACCCCCTTTTTGCTACTCTCTGTAATATGGAGGAGTGTATCCACCAAACAGTGCTGTGATATTGTTATTTTCTGGCAGGTATGATTTTATTCATCTTCATCAACTGTATAACCACACCTATCTGAATATTTCTGCCGAGCAGTGGAATCAAGTTGTATATCTGGCTGACTGGGTTGAGTATCATAAATACAGCAAAGAAATGATTGGGGATATAGGTGGAGGGCTGTTAGCTAATGAGATTGCAGAGAGCTTCAGTGACTTTGCAGCTAAAAAGACCAAGACAAAGGTGTGTCTCTTAATAGCAAACATCCTGTTGATAGCTTAAGGTGTTTTTGACCTCCTCAATGCCTCCTATTGAGTTTAAGAGGCATTACTATGTTAAAGACATGAGGACCCCAACTAAGGGAGAATGTTGTACCCTTAGTGGAGACGTCCGGGTCCGAGACCTGTAGTCTGCAGCTCGGCACACCGCGCGGAACTCTGGGAGTGAGATTCATTTTCGTGCGCCTTACTTCCAGGGTTATGCGCACGCTAACATCTATTGGTTTTTTTTTTCGCTGAATTTTTGGAATCGCGCGCCGGACTTTACTGAGAATGAGGGACTGTTCGTGTTCTATGCATGTGGACAGAACAAAACATGTCTTTTGGTACTGGAGTTCGTGGAGTTGGTGGAATTGATATGCTTGATAACACCAAAAATGTGTAGGTGACGCAACTAGTAAAGAGATATCAAATAAGTGACATGCGTTTGTTAAAATCAGGGGCCTTGTAATCGTTCAGGTAGAGAGCTTAAAAGGATAAAGGGGGTAAGTTTCTAAAGAAACTGTGGTGCTGCGTCGATGGAAGAGTATAACAAGGTAATTTGGTATTATTTGATAACGTAAATTGGCCACCGTAAAGAGTTTCTAAGCTATATTTCGAGCGTTAGCCTTACGTCATTAGCTCTGACGAGGCGCTATCGCTCGAAACGTCAGCTTTGACTTCACCAGTTATGTATCTTATTTTTCAGCTCTTGTATTACTCCGCACATTATCCAACGATGTTTTCTCTGTTTTCCTCGCTTGGTTTAAATAAAGCGGCTAAAAGTGCCTTGAGAAAAATTCCATATTATGCTTCCTTGATATTGATTGAGCTGCTACATGATAAGTCAACTGGTAAGATGATCGTTCAGTTTTCTTTCAAGAATGGTTTGAAGGTAAGATTTTTGTGACTTTTTAAATTTTTAATATTGGTTTAGGAAATCGGCATTTTCCAGAAGGCTCGTTGAAGTTTAACAACTGCTCGTACGCCCTATTTTTTCCTTCACGTAAGAGCTGAGGAACCCAAGAAAAAAGAATAATGTGAAATTATTCATAAAGCGTGGTCTTCACTTGCGACGCAAGCGCAAAGCCAAGTATAAGCTTCACAGAGATGACCGCCTCGACGCAAGCACAAGTGCTGGCACAAAACAAAGGAAGAATTCTCATCCTTGTGCTTGCGCTTGCGTCTTAGCCGTGTTCACGGTGAAATAACAGCTGTTATCTTTGCGTTTGTGCTTGCGCTTGTGCTTGCCTAGCTAGTGAAAACCAGATGTGAACTTTTTTATCGGCATGTCGCTATAATTTTTTCAGCGGAAGTTCCGAAATCCCCGTTATCTTTCTTGCACAAATTTTTTTTTTTCCAAAATAGGGCAAAGTGGTGTGAAATGCTCTCTGTTGTATGTTGCTAGTGTCTTACAACATGGAGTGGCTGTAGTCTTGCTGAAAATATTTCCGTTGGTTATTCTGTTTTCGCATTTTATATCGAGCGATCTCTAGATGACGTTTTTTCGGTTGTCACACAAAGCACAAAGTGCGCCACACTGTCAAGTATTTTTGCGGCACTCGGGATTTTCCTGATGTCAAAATAATCGCGAGCTTGTCATCCGGTAGGAAGAAAAAGAACATAACTGAGAAAATTGTGAGGCTGAGGCATGACCATATTGCATCAGCACGCTTACGTCAAAAAGTTGTCTCACAAACGTTAAAAATTGCGCTAAGTCAAGTGCTTGGTTTCTTGCCGTGAGTTTCCGCAAAACTTTGTGACCGCGAAAAGTGGTAATAATAAGGTTTTAGAATGGAATTTTTTTCTCCTCAGGGGCCATTGGTAAAATACAGCATTCCCGAGTGCAAGGACACGTGCGAACTGGACGAGTTTGTAAAACTTGTGAAATCTCTCCAAGTTCGTGACGTTACCTCGTGGTGTCACGCATGTGGCAACACCCAGTTGTCACGCTGCCAAGTAACGCAACAGCAGACCGTTTGTCCTACTTTGGAAACTAAGGAACCCAGACTTTCGGGAACTGGTGGTTTTTTCCTTGGCTCTTTTGTCACGCTGCTCATAGTGATATGTGTCACAGCCTTGTGGCATTTTTATCTGCGCAAGCGCTGTTTACTTGGCGGAACCTACCCGCGCCCAAGGAAAGGCCTTTCTGATTTGGAAAATACTTCCTCGCCGGGTGTGATTTAAGGCAAAGGAAAGAATTTTGATTCCAGTGCGCCTGGTGTGCTAGAGGGAGGTACAAGGGAGGGGAGGGGGCATATTTTCTATCAATACAAAGGGTAGTGTGCCGCGCAGTCGTTCTTCAGGATATCGAGCAACACTTCCCCCAAGAGATATTTCTTTCAGGGGAGGGGGGGGGGGAGGCGGGGCCTTGTGTGCTGCCACATAAAGACTGCTAAAAGACACCAACTTCGTCCTCAGGGTTTCTCAGTCAGGTTTTTCCAAGATGGTGGCCGGTCTAAAGAATCCCTTTCAATCCGCTGCCATCTTGAAAACTGACCAAACATGCCTTGGGAACGAGATGGGAGAAACGTAAGAGGGAACTGACCGCGAGATAAATAGAGATCTGGGTAAAGCACTGGCCAGTTCACTATGTTATATTGAAGAGAAAGACACTGAACTCTGTCAGCGCTTCTCTCCACTCATGAGTATATATTGACAAACCCTGTAATTGCTCGAGTAAGAAATCTACGCAGAAATAAATGAGGTCAGCGGTCAGCATGGCACTCAGACGTGTCCTTCTTGGCTCCGTAGTTTTATCATTTTTATTGCTTTTATTTGGTCTTCACCCTGAGAAATATTTATCTGGACATAGCCTATATTATTTCTCTTGTGCACCGCTTCGCTCTGGCAGCTCAATGTCTTCGTTGGAAGTGATAACGAGCAACAAACAAGTAAACTCCACTCGGAGATTAGGCCGCCATCTTGGTTGTCGACTTCGTGGAATGAGTTACCTCGGCGCTAGAGTGAACTATCATCACAATTCAACTTCCAGTTTTCAACTGATTCGACTGATCAAATCTGGTGATGTAAGTTTAAATCCTGGCCCCTCTGCTATTCAAGCTGTAATCGGAAATCGACACTCGACAAACGGCGACTTTGCTTATGCTAGCGCTGTTGGCAATCGTGCACCGCCGTGTCTACGTAATTTGGTCCACATTATTGTGCCCAAGCCTCAACAAGTGTTGGAAAATATCAAGAACGATACGCAACGATTGTTGCTTTGCCTTCTCAATGCTCGATCTTTGAGAAATAAGTCAGCGTCGTTTGTGGATTTGGTATGCGATAGCAAAGCAGATCTATTTGCTGTTTCTGAAACCTGGCTTACAGACAATGACACTGCTATTCTTAGTGAAATAACACCACAGGGATACAAACTCCTTCATCATCCCCGCAGTGATCGCAGAGGAGGTGGGACTGCATTGATTTTCAAAGAATCTATCAACGTTGAAAAGGTTTCAGCTGCAGGAAAAGAGTCATTCGAGGTGTCAGAATGGTTGGTCAATCCTGTGGCTACTACTCGTTTGCGGGTTGTTTTAGTCTATAGGCCTCCATATTCTGTTAAACATCCTGTGTCTACTTCAACATTTATCACTGAATTCTCAGATTATCTCGAGTCTTTGGTCATGTCAAGTGAGCCTTTGTTAATACTGGGCGATTTTAACATTCATATGGATCTACCTGATGACACTGACTGTAGAAACATGTCTGACCTTCTGGTGTCGATGGGTCTTAAACAACATGTTCTACACCCTACCCATGAACTTGGTCACACACTGGATTTGATCATCACTCGTATATCTGATAACATCATTGCTGGGTGCCCCTACACTGGTGAGTTGTTTTCTGACCATTTCCCAGTCTTCTGTCAACTAAAACCTGAAAGACCTCCGGTGGCCATCAAACATCTGCAGTTCAGAAAAATTAAATCAATTGACCGTGATCAATTTTCCGAGACGATTTGCTCTTCTCAGCTCTGTCTTGACCCACCGGACGACTTGGATACCCTAGTCAATTGTTACAATGAGACACTAAGATCTATACTAGATATCTATGCACCTGTCTTGTCCCGTGATATTGTTGTTCGGCCTCGAGCACCGTGGTTTAATGAAGATATCAGAAAAGCTAAACGGTCGAGACGAAAGGCTGAAAAGAAGTGGAGAATTACTGGCCTATCTGCAGATCGTGCTGCTTTTAAAAAGGAAAGAAATCGTGTGGTGAACTTGATGAATGAGGCACGTCGTGTCTACTACAATCAATTCATTGAGGATAATAGTTCTGACCAGCGGAGGCTGTTTATGGCAAGTAAGAGTCTACTGAATATGCAGCCGGATAGAGCTCTTCCTCCTCATACTGACGTTTCTCTGCTTGCAAATGACATGGGCGAGTTTTTTATTACCAAGATTGCTAATATAAGGTCAAAGTTGGAAGGTATCTCTCCATCGCATCTTCTGTCGACGTCGGAGCCTGATCTGGTATCTGAACCTAGCGATATTGTACTGTCTGATTTTCAATGTACAACGGCTGTAGCAATACGTGATATGATTACATCAGGGAAGAAAAAAACTTGCATCTTGGATCCAATACCTGCGACTCTGTTATCTGCCTGCCTTGACCCACTCCTTTCTGTAATAACGAATATGGTTAATTTGTCCTTACGAACTGGATTTTTTCCTGACGCCTGGAAAACTGCTGTGGTACATCCATTATTGAAAAAGCCTGGTCTTGATCCTCTTTTCAAGAATTTTCGACCAATTAGCAACTTGCAATTTGTGTCCAAACTTACTGAACGTGTGGTAGCCAATCAGATTCAGTGTCACATGATTAAGAACAATCTCTTCCCTCAGCTTCAATCTGCTTATCGTTCCCATCACAGCACTGAGACTGCATTGTTAAAAGTAAAAAACGATTTGCTAATGAATATGAACAAGGGGCATGTATCACTCTTGGTGTTATTAGACTTGAGTGCCGCCTTTGACACTGTTGACCACAAGATTTTATTAAAAGCCCTTCAGACGAAACTAGGTGTTTGCGGCTCTGCTCTTTCGTGGTTCAAGTCTTATTTGGAAGGGCGATCTCAAAGAATTTGCATAAAAGAGACGCTTTCGCAGTCATTTGATTTGAAGTGGGGTGTACCTCAAGGTTCTTGCCTTGGCCCGCTTTTGTTTACTATCTATTCAAGTGATTTGTTTTCTCTCCTGGAGTCCCATTTACCAACTGCGCATGCTTACGCGGACGATACTCAGTTGTATCTGTCCTTTAGTCCTAGTGTTGGCACTGGTGAGTTGGATGCGGTCACTGCCATTGAAAATTGTATTCGTGACATTAGACAGTGGATGTGTGTGAGGAAATTAATGCTAAATGATGTCAAGACTGATTTTATGCTTGTTGGGACACGGAAGCAGCTCACAAAGGTGTCTATCGATGGCATCAGAGTCGGAGATTATAATATTAGTCCTTCTTCATCAGTCTGTAATCTGGGCACATGGTTTGATCCGCATTTGAATATGGATGTACATATTACCAAAACATGCAGCAGCTCATTTTATTATCTTTATAATATCAGACATATTAGGAAGTACTTATCTAGAAGTAGCACTGAAACACTAGTTCATGCGTTTATAACAAGCAGACTTGATTATTGCAACAGCCTTTTGTATGGGTTACCGAAATATCAGTTGTCTAAACTCCAGCGTGTTATGAATGCTAGTGCCCGTTTGGTATATTGTGCTCCAAAGTCGTGCCACATCACGCCTCTACTTCACGAATTACATTGGCTGCCTGTTTGTTATCGTATCGAATATAAAATAATTCTTCTTACATTTAAGGTATTGCATGGTATGGCGCCCGATTACTTGCGCCATTTAATATCTATCTTGCCGCCATCTAGGTATAATTTAAGGCGCAACGATGACTCTGCAGCTTTATTAACTTTCCCGAAGATAATATCCAAGAAGACCCTGGCAGATAGATCGTTTAGTTGTGCCGCCCCTAGACTTTGGAATTCGCTTCCTACCACAATAAGATCTATTTCCAGTTTAGATATTTTTAAAATTAGACTTAAAACTTTTTTATTTAATAGGGCGTTTAATTAGTTCTATAGTTTTTATAATTGAATTGCATTATTTTAGAATTGTAATTTTGAACTTCTATTTTAATTTCTAATTTAATATTTATTGTAAGGCGCAGTTGAATATTTTTATAGAAACTGCGCGGTATAAATTTAAATTTAATAATAATAATAATAAATTTAATAATAAATACAACCAAAAGATTTTCACGCAATGTTGAAAAAAGTAAATGCTTTTCTGTAGGCAGATGATTTTTAACGAAGTCGTTGAAACTGAAGGCATTGCGATTGAATTTAATTATTCCAGGACAACTTTTTAATTATGAAAACTGAGATTTTAAACAAAATTAAAGGAAAGAATTATATTATAACCCTCTTGTGATTCACGAGTTGTCTTTGATTTTCTTTTGTCTCGTAACGCCTGAGGTTGCGGTACATAACCAGTATGTAACGTTGCGCCTTTCATCAGTCCCATGGCTTAGCTTTGGTTTCCTGAATTAATCCTGTGTTCTTGAATTACACCTTTGATTAAAAAGCACTAAATGACTGGCCCGATTGGAAACAGTGGGCTTCGTTTCCTGAGACTCCTAATGTAACAACGTTGAGATTCGTGGAGGAACAAACTTCCAGTTGTTTTTTTTACACTTCCCCACTCAAAAGTAGCACGCATTATTTTCGGAATCGTTTCTACAATTATTTTCTTAACGCGCGCTCAAATTTGATCAAGATCAAGGGCGAGTTGAAAGTTCAAGTTATTGTTTCCGCAGAGGTTAATGACTTTTGATAAGTTTTCCTCCAACTGGGAAATGTATTTGAGTTCGGAGGTATAACGATCACTCTAGCTTAATTAAAGAGTTTGTTTGACTTGGAATCCCTTTGTATTTGAACCTGTGTCCGGAGATAAAATTAACATGTTACTAGCTCGGTTTCTCGGTGCGTACAATAGTTTACGAACCTGGTTTTTTCCCGCTTGCTCTATAACTTACGGTACGGACCTCGAACTCAGTTGGTAAGAGGTGGTTATTCCCCTCCCGCTGCGAATAATTTGGAAATATAAAACGACAAATGACGCAGTCTTTGACCTGTATTGTAAATTTTTTTTAGCAAAAGGAAATGTAAAGCTAGCCATAAGAAAAAAAGGCAGTCAAAGGCTGCATGTGGCCACTGATATAGCATTATTAAGTTGTATAATGACGCTAGAAGATAGTTTTTGGAGAGATTTATATTCGCATGCAAAACAGAAAACACCCATCCCACAGTTTACGAGT